CCCTATACAGTCATACCTCAGGGTAAATATGCTTCAGGATAAGTCAAAAAATCCGTTTATTGTGAGGACCATGCCTGTGCACAAACATCAACACTACAATAGTTAAAAATATTAAAATTCATTACATACTATGCCAACAAAACCTTCTTCCCACAAAATAGAAAAGGAGGGAAAACGAGCAACGGGTTAAACAGACGATGAAGGGGTCTTTACATTGTTGTCCATAAATCTTTCCCTGGCTTTCATGGCCTTCATCACAAAAACCGCTACCACATGGGTAATGCGTGGGTTTGCATCAACTAACAAAAATTTTACTCTATCTTCAGGACTGGTTATAGAGTTGGGTATAATTTGCAGCAATGCGTCTCTAAAGCCCGAGTAAATGGGGCAATAGAGGAGGTAATGTGTAAGATCCTCTTTAATTTTCATAAGGCAAGGACATAAACAATGTTCTACTGGGGTTTTTGTGTATCTACCGGTCAGATAAGCAGTTGGCAATGTTTGGAACCGTGCCATAGTGAAAGCTCTCCGAAGGGTGGGATCAGTGATCTCCACCAAGTAGTTGGCACAGATTTGGACTGCTTTTACTCGGGGGAACCAGTAGGAAAACCCAGAGTTTTTTATCTTAGTGGAGTCCAAAAAGGCGTCTTTTTCAAAGATCCATTCCCGAACTTTATCAGGGCTCCACAATTTGAGAGTATTAAACTCAGGTAGGTTGTATCTGGATAGAATGTCTAGTAGGTTTTTATGCCAAGTGGTATTATTTTGTAATGATACAAAGGCTTGTTTAGCCAATAAGGTGTTTGGGGCATCTATGAGGTTGGTGAAAAAATGCAGGAATCTTAAGTGGGCCCTGGCAGACACAGAAGGTAATCCTACTTCCACTCTTAGGAGAGCTGCTGGAGTACTCTGAGGGAGGCCTAGAATTCTTCTGAGATAAAAATTTTGGAAGATTTCAAGCCGTTCTAACAGCTTCTGATTCCATCCCCAGAGTTCTACTCCGTATAACATCTGGGGAATCACTTTTCCAACAAAAGTTTTTAGTGCCAGGGTCACCAGTTGCCCTCCCCTCGAATAAAAAAAGCTGAGCAGAGCACCAATTGTCCTATGTGTTAGAAGGGCTACAGTCTTGAAGTGGGCAAGCCAGCTAGATGTAGCTTGGAAAGTGATGCCAAGATATTTAAAGAAAAGACATTGTTCAATTTTGTGTTCCTCTAAAGACCATCTAAATGTGTGGCGAGCTCTAGTAAATACCACAATTTTTGTTTTGTCATAATTTATCTTTAGAGAGTTTTGGGAACAATAAGCTGCGAGCCCCTCCAGCATGCTGTGTAGGCCCCTTCGAGTGAGTGCCATGACCGCCATGTCATCAGCATATAGCAGTATATTCAGGTGTTTGCCTTCCAGGGCAGGAGCTGATGACTTATACTTTGCCATATGTTGAACAATGTCGTTTATATTCAGGATAAGTATTTTTGGGTTGCGCTCTGCGGCGACCCGGAAGTAACGGAGTGCGTTACTTCCGGGTTTCGCTGCTTGTGCATGCGCAGACGGTCAAAATGACGTCACGCGCATGTGCTGAAGCGGCGAAACGCGACCCGCACAGATGTGCTGTCACGTCTTACATTCTATACAGGATACGAACGGGGCTCCGGAATGGATCCCGTTCGCATCCCAAGGTACCACTGTACAGCTTAGGTCCAGAATACCTGGCAAACTAATATTATCCTATATATGCCTAATCAGTCACTGCACTCTGCAGGTGAGGGCCTCCAACAGGTACCATCTCATCAGGATATCTGTTCTACACAGCGTAACAATTGGACCTTTAATGTTGTGGCACCTACCATTTAAAATCTCTCCTCTTTGACAGCTGCTCCCCCCCCTTTTTTTGTCTTTCCTTTCTTAAAGAAGCATTTTAAATTGAGATCTTTCCCAGTCTTCAGCTGTATTGGAATTGTTTTAAATATCACTCGTTTCATCACACATTTGCTGCCCTGGTCTCCTTTGGGAGGAAAGGTGGGATATCAATTTCATAAATAAGTAAATAATTTGTTTAGATTTTACCAGTGCCATTTAATGCATAGATAGAGTTTGGCATAACATGAGCAAGCCTTAAACCTCAATCAATAGACGGGGTCAAATGCACAGTGCTAAAAGTTCATAAAATGTTTATGTAAATGACTCACAACTCCAGTTCCAGATACTCCTTGGCCATTATGACATTTTGATTTCCATGTGGTGTTTCAGTGCCCCCATACCTTGAATCAAGTGAAATACAGATTTTTTTATTATTATTATAAAAGCATGTGGGGTCAGTTTTACCACTACAGTGGTACCTCGGGTTACAAACACCTCACGTTACAAACACTTCGGGTTACAGACTCCGCTAACCCAAAAATAGTACCTCGGGTTAAGAACTTTGCCCCAGGATGAGAACAGAAATTGCATGGCGGCGCAGCGGCAGCAGGAGGCCCCATTAGCTAAAGTGGTACTTCAGGTTAAGAATGGCTTCGGATAAAGAATGGACCTCTGGAACGAATTAAGTTCGTAACCAGAGGTACCACTGTATTGTGGCGACTGACAGACCTTAAAAATACATGCACTTAAAATCCTAGGGATTGAAGTGTCCCTGCAAAATGCTGCTCAGTTTTTTAATTTCTTTTCATGGATGGGATCCAGTGTTATGCCTGCTCACACCATGAGACTACTACTTGTCCTTCCCCTATAGTCCCTCTCATCTGCTCCAGTGATTTAGGAAACCTGTTGGAGCAGATTTTGAGGGCTTGTGGGGTGCTGGAATATGGGGATAAGAGAAACCAGAAGACTGCTGTGCAAGCAGATTTCTGTAGTGGATGCAGACAAACATAACTACAGATGCTTAGCCCAGAATTTGCTTTTTTCATATTTTGTAAGAAAAGAGAAAATTGGTTATTTGAAAACAATATTTTCATAATTATAATCAATGGACTTTAGGTGAACCCTTTACTCCTATAGGAATAAATTTCCAAAATATGTTGTTGAAGGTTTCTTCAGGTATTTTTATAACCAGCCAGCTCTAGCAGCTAAAAACATACACCAGGCAGTGGCTAAGAAATGAACACATTTGCGGAGAATGGAATGTAACAGCTGCTGACTTTGTCATTAATGTGCCACTAGCCAGTGGATAAACTAAGGAAAACTGTGGCCCGTTGCAGGGAGGGAGACTGACAAGAAATTCCCTCAAGATTCTTTACTGATAAATTCTGGAATATCAATACCAACTAGCATTTTTGGTTCTTAAGGAGATTTGATACTGGTAAGTTACATGTCAGAGAAAGAAGATGATTCTTCCTTCTTTTTTTTTTAATGCTGTAGTGAAGTTTTGGCTCACAGGCCTAAATAGGTCTGCCAGGGTCAAAGCGTAAGCAGCATTTCTCTTACCCTAAATCTTAGCACTAAGATCAAAGATAAGCTTTTTTCTGCTCTGACTAGTTGAATTTTGAATCAGCTGATATATAATGTCAGGTAATTGACAGCTGAGCAATCCTGCCCACCAGTCAGAATAGCCTGTAGAGTGTTGGCCAGTTCTGAATTTGACCCTCTGTGCAGATTAGATTATTCACCCTTGCTTTAATGCAGAATGTTGCAGCAATCTTAGGCCACAAGTTCAAGCCTGAGATCATCATTATAACAAAAATGCTTGAGATCATTTCTTTCACTATAATGAAAGTGAAGTGATGAGTCTCTATTCCACATTAAAACACTTAATGAAATGGGGGCCACTAATGTATTTTATCAAATGTAGTAGACATTATCTGTTTAAATGCCAGTACTGTTTAGAAGCTAACAGCCACAATGGAGTGAGTTTGGAGTTGGTTATACTGCACTCTGAGATGAATACAGAAACATAGTCATATTGTCTGAGATGTCAAGAGAGGAAGCTTCAGAATTGGTAGGGCCTTCCACCAGGACAGCATAAAGAGGAAGCTATTGCCTCTGTTGTTAATGCAACAACAGAAAATTGCAGCAACAATGTGCTTCATGTAACCATTTTGTCTGTTCTACTCATGCAGTTGTGAAATGTGCTGCTTGAGTAATGTGTGCTATGGTTGCAAGGTCTGTAAGATTTGTTGTTGCAGGTAATTCACAACTCATGATTATTGCACAGTTATACTTGTGTAACTGTTATAATATGTATGTTAATAGCGCAATATGTTTTATGTTTAAAAAACTGTGGGGTCAGTTAGATCCTACAAACTGTTCTTGTAGCTTTATGTGCTTTGAGTTGTGGGGTATTGTTGACCCTGATAATTTATCAGCAGGTTTTTTTTTATACTGAAAATAAAGTTCTCAATGAAGGCATACTTTAGCTTGCAAATGGTGTCATGCTTAATATAGTTTTATTGGGGCACATTTGACTCAAAGATTGTAATTTGAGGCTTTTTTATGTTGACAGCGCTAAGCTCACATAGACCCTCCCCAACTTCCCTTGTCAAAGCAAATAATAATTTGCCATTATGGCTGAACTGATCAAACTATGATTTGTGCAAGCCAAATTAAAATTTAAAACAAATGAGGAAGTTGGGGTAGGAGTGAGTGTGTTGGTCAAAGGCTAGTTCACATAACATGGTTTGCTGCTATTTCCAAACTGGATAATACCGTGAGCTGTTCAGTTGTAGCAAGAAGCAAAATAAAATTCTGTGTTCTCGTTTAGTTATTTTCACCTCATTATGGTGATAAAGCATAGCAGATGCAACTTCATCTATGTACTTATGGCTAGATTTGATGAGGTGGGAAAATTTTATGGAGAGCATGCAATTGCATGTTTGAAAGATTTTAAAGACTTTGTTTTGAACTATCATCTTTAAAATAAAAGGCATTGATCAGGGCATTTAGTAGGTTCACTGTATGACTGTTACACTACATACAGAAACGTCTACACCTTGCAACTGTGCTTGGTTGCAATTTTCTCTGTAGCTCTTCGACACGGTGTATTTCACTTTTGACCCTATTTCTAGGAGATGTACGAGTAAGAAGTCGGGCAGGATTTGAAACAGAGAGAAGAGGTTCTCATCCATACATTGATTTCCGTATTTTTCACTGTAAGTATTTAAATAATAGCAGAACAGTAATAAAGGGTTCCATTTGTGTTTGGCTGTGGGGCTTCAAATAATTGATGGCTGATTTAAAATGGAAATTTACATAATTTTTTTCATTTCCCTGCAAATAATACAGTATCTGTTTGGAGAAATTAAGAATTTACACAGTGTGTGTGTGTGTGTGTGTGTGCGTGCTACAGAGGTGAAAAGAAACTGTTTCTTTTAAATTAATGAATAACAGGTCCATATTCTCCAGGGTGCTAAGCAGTCAGCTTGATATGAAGCTGGTCTGTTTCATATTCTTATTCCCAAGTATGTCACCAATACACCAACAATACCTGTGCACCAATAACTTCTCTCTGTATGACTGATAGAAGAAAATTCTTATGTAGCTATGCATGCTGAATATTAAAAGTAGGTTGGATTCCAGAGATGCAATTACTCAGCTAACTGGACACTGTTGGAAGATATTGACTTTTTCTAATTCCCCCTGCTGCCTCCCCTGAAAATTTCCTCTGAAAATCTGCTCTGGTAAGGGGGAATCCTTCAAAACAACATGGGAGATGACATGGGGGAAGGTGAAATTGTTAATTGTCTCCCCTTCACCTCTCTTGGATCAGACTTGCTTTTGTGAATAGAATGAGCCCTCTATGGAGGGGCAAGTCTGTATTCAATCCATTGCCTATGCTGTTGTAATTCATTTGGTAGAGCTTTCTTGTTTAATTGAAAATTCCAATGGTAAAACTTCTCAGCAGTACAGCTTTTGGTTTCTAGCAGAATCTTGCTCCCAGTAATTCAGGTTTCCTGAAGGTTAGCTTAGCTATTTTTTCTGCAGCATGAAGCCTGTTTCAATAAATACTCAAAAAACAGAGCTGAACCTAACTGCAGTGCATGGAGTCTTCATCTACAATGTCAGGTGTTAAATTTTTATTTTATTTTCCCATTTTTTGTTGATTGTTTTATGTACACCACTTAGAAATGCACATAATTAAACTGTATATAAATGTATTGAATAAAAGAAGAGAAAGTAGTTTAAATTGCAAAATAACAATTCTTCTCTCTCCCCTCTCCCTAAAGTTAAGAACTGAAAGATATCATGACAAAGAATGAATTATCTTTGTTTAAGCAACCATTATCTTTAGATGGAAGTGGAGATATTTGTTCTTTGGCATGAAGGTTTGAGAATAACATTGACAAGTTTCTTCAGAAAGAGAAATCATTCACTATCCATAAGTAGTAGCACAACAATAGAATGGTCCTTGATAGGCCTTGGTAAGACATTTAAAGCAATTTTTTTCAGATGCAGTTATCCCCATAGTTTCCCTCTTGGGCAATCCTACACCAAACACTAACTTTGCACATATATATTTCTTATTTGAGAAATTATTTGATTAATTTTCTTATCTTCAAAATGAAGATTCATCCATATTCCACAAATATTTTAAAATGTTTAGTTTGGTCTGAAAGCTGCTTCCTAATGTTGATGTTTCTGAGAAGACTTGGCTTGGCTTCAGCTGGACATTGTATAAAGAAGCAGCATTATGCCTGAGATGTTTTTCTTCCAAGGGATACTCTTAAAGGCTTATATAAATTTGCAAAAACATCCACCTGATCTCCCACACATTCTGTGTGTAAAGCTTTATTTATAAAATGCTTATGCCACTTAATATAATAATAACCTCTAAGTTGTTTCTGTTGATATAACAATTAGTAACATTTTATAAAAGCTAAATAAAAAGTAATACAAAAGTATAAATTGCAAATGAAACTCAGCAATGTGCAAAGCAGAAAATTTAAACTTTTGAGTTGGAGTCCAGAAAAGCTTGAAACAGTCAGGTCATTACTGTCTTTGCATTCCAATTATCTGATGGAGGGTATGCGAGAAGCTGGGATGCCAAACTGTGAATAACTTGGGGTCTAACTACTTGGAAGAGTGCCTCTCCCTGTATAGTCCTGTCCTGGATGTTAACGTCTGCCATGAAGGCCCTTCTTAGCATCCCCACCACCAGGTATTATATATTATGCAGTGATGTAAGAGAGGGCCTTCTTCCTGGTGGTGCCAGTTTAAAACATGGTTGTTCACCTCAGCCTTTGATAAAGATGCCTTTAATGTGTAGCTGTAACTTTCAGCTGATGTACGTTGTTTGATGGTTTAGTTAATTTTATTTATTGTAAATGAACACTGATTTTATACGTGTTTGTCGTTCTCTACCCCTTTCTGGAGATCACGTGGTGCATGGTGGGCTATCAGTATTTGAAATAAATAAAGTGGAAGAGCAATATTGAATCAGTTTGTGAGTTGACATGATAACACTTGTCTGAAGGGCTGTTGCATAGTAAAGGGCAAATACTCGGTGCTGCTTCAGTGGGCAGGAGTAGATGTAATGGGCTTAATATACAGGAGTTAAGATTTTGGTTGAATAGTAGGATAAACTTATTGACAATGGAACCAATTAACTAGAGACATAGTGGGTTTTGCCTTGCTGAAGATCTTCAAGAAAATATTGGACAGCTGATGGTCTGGAATCTTCTTGCTCTGGTTTCCTGTATCTTTAGGAACCTCATGCTGGACTTTTGTCACAGTTGTGGCGACAGGACCAGACACTGTTTTCCAGAACTTGAAGTTTGTAGCATTCAACTTGTGTTTATAGTCACAGAAGTATCTTAAATTCCAATAAAGTACTTTTTAAAAGTCCCATGCCCTCATCTTTTTTTTTTAAAAAAAAGGCTTACCTTTTCCAAACAGAATTGACATATGAAATACCAGTTTCCTTCTGTAACAAGTGATGAGCAAAGTTTGAGTCTTACGATCAACTGCATATTCAATTAAAAACGTGTTTTGTTCCGTAGAGGTAATATTCTTGTTCCCTGGTCGTCTGCTAATTTTTAATTTTGAACTGAACAGATGGAGAATTTATCTCTAAAAATTGAGACACAAGCAGAGGGCTTTCAAATTTCTTCCTCAGTGTAAACAGCAATAGAGGGTTTCTCAGGGTTCTCCTCTTACATTCCCACACTGCTCACTCCCCTACACAAAGCAAGACAGGTGAATTGAAGTGAGCAGCCAAAGCATGCAAAGGAAGAGTGCTTAGCAGTTGCTGTTGTTTGTCTCTACTCCAGTGCATTATTATTAGGGTGCAGGTTTTGTTAGCTACGGTAAATCTTAGGAGGCTGCCTTATGTTGAATCATACTGTTGGCCCGTTTAGGTCAGTATTGTTGTATTTGGAAGCAGCTCTCCAGGATTTCAGAGAGGCCCACATGGAGGTGTTGAGAATTAAAACTCTGACTTTTTATGTGCCAAGCATGTGCTTTATCATTGATGTATGCTCCTTCTTTTAAATGCCAATCCCAGATTATGGTATTTGTGCTAGGAGTCTTCAAAACATTTGGACAAATTAATAATGGGGCTGCTTAAGACATACTTAGGGCTTGTCTAATCAAGCAGGATATCTCTGAAGTGTCCTAGACCTAGACCAAAGCAGGGCGTTCCAAAGTGCTTCAGAGATGTGGTTGCTGCAGACAGTGTGTCTGCAAAGATGGAAACATTTCTCCTGAAGCTTGCCATTAAAGGAAAGGCGTGCGTACTTGGGTGGGAGGGAGGAAGAACTCCTTCGTGGCTGGTGGGTCTTGATTCTGATCAAAGAGAATGATTTTACCAGGGTGCTTCAATCACAGTGCTTTGGGGAAGGAATGTTAAAGTAATTTATCACTTTGTTCTTCTATCTCCTGTTCTGTAATTGTTGTTTTGGGGGTGCTTGCTTGGAACACAATCAGCATCCATTTCTCTGTGTCCACACATTCACTCCTGTCAAATTAACATTGCACTTTCTATGGGCAGAATCCAATTGATACATCTAGTGCAAGGATTTCCACGTGTGACATAACTTCCCTTCCCTTTCATCTTCTACCCTCTCCCCTGGTCCTCCAAAAATCGGCTCAGAAGGATTGGAGGAAATGCATGCATTTAAGGGGGCATGCAGGGAGAGGAGAGGAAGGGGAAGTTCCTTTGTGCAGGCCAAAGTCCTTGCACTAGCAGATCTACTTAGTTTGATACTACCCTATAACTTTGGGTGCCAGTTGAGCAGAACACAAGCATGTAGCTGCAATTTTCATTAATCAGAACTTCCTAGCCTCTGCGCTCTTCTTTTTGAAATCTTGCAGTTACTTTCCTTGGGCACCTCTATAATGTATGACATAGGGGAGAAAGCAAATCTCCCCTCCCAGAAATCAACTTTAAAGGCAACTAGTACAAAGCCCCCTAGATCTATTTGTTGATAATTAGGCTAGGTTCTTACACTGGGGTTCCTCTTTCCATGTATGTTACATTTTAATACAGTTCCTCACGAAGCAATGGGGGGAAATTAAGTAAATCTGTTTTACCCAACCTCAAATTGTTAAGGTTTCGTTGCAGGAAAACTATTGCAGCTATCCAGTGCAGTGAATTCATTCCCTCAGAACTGGCAATGATGCCTGCTTATTTCTTTCAGTTATCCCTCTAAATAAAAATACTATTCCTTTGGGGGGGGAGGGGGCAGTATCACATTTTAAAGGTGCCCAGCAGAGAAAATCCATGAACCTCTTAGAAATTCAGCTGGTGCTATCCGCTCAAGATGGATAATAGGTCTGCAAATTTCATTCATTTCTATCAAAACAGGAAAAGTTGAAACTATTTTTAAAAATTCCTCATGAATGTGAATGGAAGGAGCACAAAGCTTCATTTTTCTCCCAATCAGGTTTTGAATTCAGACCCTGAGCTCAATTTTACAGTTTATGAATTGGTGTAAACAACAGCAGCAGCATGTTGGTGTATAATAGTGTGTAAACAGACTTAAGTTTGTAAAGGGTGCTTTTGATCATTGAAACATTAGTTGAGTTGGAGCATAGAGATATGAGTGTGTGGAATTTATAATTTTAAAGCTCAACCTATTGTATATTAAAATTCAAAAATGGTTATCTTGAGATATACAGTATGCTCACAACTTATGCACATTTAACTTGTACACATTCAGCTTGCTTGGCAATGGAAAAAAATTAAAAAAGGGGTTGGGAAGAGGGGAGTTGTCCAGGAAAAAAGACTTTGGCAGTCCCGCCCTCCATTAAACCCAATGTGTTTTGATTATGTGCAACTTTGACTTTAGGTGCAATCTACAAAACATATGCCCTGCATAAGTTGTGGGCTTACTATATTTACCTTTTTATATGCTTTCCCATATTTCTCTACTTTCCTTTTCTTCCTCCTGTTTGAGTGACTTATTTCATTTGGGCTGATGGTGTTTATTTTTAAAACAATAATGTGTTCTTTCCCTGTTTTCTCCAGTTTGCATGCTTCTTGTGTAATAATTTTTCACTTGGATACACTCCCAAATAATCAGTGCTGCTTTGGTGTTATTATGGACAGACACAGACTCATTATTTCATTTGTGTAGATCTTTTAAAAACTTGTTCTAGAATGAATGGAAGAGAACTTTTCAAACCTTAGGTTCCGATAAAAAAACAGACTGACTGGTTTTTATCTCTGATCAGGATCATGGGATCTTTAAGTAGAGGTGAAAGATTTAAAATCCTGTGGAAATGTCAAGACATTGCCTTGTAAAAAGAGAGCCTGGGGAAGATGAAAGGTTGTAAGAACAATGTGTCTTATTAGCAATGAAGAGTGTTGAAATTCACTTTTTAGTATGTTACTAGGAGCATGTGTAAGGTTTCCAAACTGCTGTGTACTATTTTTGATTAGCTAAAATTAATGTTTCATGTGTAAAAATGGTAGGGTGGGTAGGGTTATACTGTACAGTGGTGCCCCGCAAGACGAATGCCTCGCAAGACAAAAAACCCGCTAGACGAAAGGGTTTTCCGTTTTTGAGTTGCTTCGCAAGACGATTTTCCCTATGGGCTTGCTTCGCAAGACGAAAACGTCTTGCGAGTCTTGCGATTTTTCCCCGCTCCCCCCTTTTTTTCTAAGCCGCTAATAGCCTTTTAGCCGCTAAGCAGCTAAGCCTTTAATAGCCGCTAAGCCGCTAAACCGCTAATAGCGCTAATCAACTAAGCCGCTAATAGGGTTGCTTTGCAAGACGAAAAAACCGCTAGACGAAGAGACTCTCAGAACGGATTATTTTCGTCTTGCGAGGCACCACTGTAAATTCTTCTTTTATTTTGGGAAGGATAAAAACAAAATGGATTTCAGAATTTGCTTTTCACACTATGAAGTGTAGCTGTCTTAGAGGATTTGATGTTCACCACATAATTAACATTTTTATTCCACTGAAGGAAGCAGACGAAAGAACCTTGAATTTAACAAACTTGATCCATTATTAATAGTTCACAAACTGAAAACACAATAAAACCCACAGGGCAGTTTACAACATAAAACCACAAAATGAGAACACAAAATACATAATAAAAGCAAGAACAAAAATGTAAACAAACCCTTCCCACAAACACATTTAAAAGGCCATAGAAGGTTAATGAACTAAACGCCTGGATATAGAGAAACGTTTTCGTCTGCCCCTAAAGATGAAGCTGCCAGGCGAGCCTTCTAGTAAGTAAACCTGTAGTGCAGACCATTGCAGAGGTAGAGAAACTTCAGCTGTGTTGGCTCTTCTTTTTTACTAAAACCCCAAGCCAAGTACAAAAGATATATAGTTGAATTAAATAACATTGTGCCTCTGAGTCCATTCAAAGCCTAGGAATTCATTCCACTACAAAACTGAACTGAGCTCATGGTCCTTCCACACAAAAGGCTTTCTTATAGCTTTATTTCAGCATCATGATTTAGATGGGAAAGTTGTTTTGTTGAAATTGTTAAACAATTGGGAGTAAACAAAAAAAGATGATCTACTGCAAATCACCCTGAGATATCCTCATTCTGCCTTCTGTACACCCTTGAGTTAGTGAATTTAAGAAATTATGTTTTTATTCTGAAGTCTGTATTTGTTTCATATTGGAGAATTGTACAGTATAAGATAATTCCTTATACTGTAGTTACAGGTAGGTAGCAGTGTTGGTCTGCCGTAGTCGAAACAAAATTAAAAAATTCCTTCCAGTAGCACCTTAGAGACCAACTAAGTTTGTTACTGGTATGAGCTTTGTGTGCACGCACGAAAGGTATCTGAAGAAGTGTGCATGCACACGAAAGCTCATACCAATAACAAACTTAGTTGGTCTCTAAGGTCCTACTGGAAGGATTTTTTTTATTTTGTTTCGACTGCAGCAGACCAACACGGCTACCTACCTGTAACTATAGTATAAGATTTTAGTTGAGAGAAAGCAGGAAATACCTTAGTTCCCTTTTCATGCTAGCTTTTTGGAGGGTGGCCTCTTCCCATGCTATTCAGGTAATGTGGGACACCCCTTGTTCTGTGGGAATCCAGATCCTAGAAGAGAAGATTCTGGTGTTTGGGTAAGCCACAATGTGATCTCCTGTAGGATGGGCTGGAGTTTCTCATACAGTCTTGAGAGGCCCAGGAAGGAGGTGACTTGCAGTGACTCTCATGGCAGAGAGGGGGACAGAGTGTACTAGTAAAAGATGAAGCAGAACAGTTGTTTTCCTGACCAAATTGTCTGATAACTCCATGAATATTAGGGATGCTCTTTGTTGGGGAGTGGCTGTAGTGCTTGTAAGAGACCATAGCAGGAGCAAATAGTAAAATGAAAAGTACATTTTGGAAATAAGTGCTTTCTGCTTGGTGCAAATGAAACAGCACCTAGAGACTGGGAGCAGGTATGGGATTGTTAACTCCCTTTCCTACCCACCTCTTTATGTGCTAGTTCCTCACTCCCCTCACTCTCCATCTCAGTTTACTGTTAATGTTTAGTGATGCTTAACTGTTTCAGATTTAACCTGTGCATAATCCTAAGATTCATTTCAGAACCAAACCTTCCCAGTGTATTTTACTTTTTGGTAGTGTTATGTCTGATGCAGATCTCAAGAATTTATTCACTATAATACATCAAACTATAATACATCAGATATACCACAGTAGTGATTTGCTAATTTAATCTTGAAACTGATTTTAACAGGGGATTGGGTTTTGTAAATCCACATTAACAGTTTAGTTGCAATTATATGATAATTGTAGTATAAGGATAGCCATTACAAGCCTAACAAGTTTTCCAATAGCTTTGGTGTGTTTGGAATTCAAGAGTTGGATCCTAAGATCCCCTGAATGAAGCTCCATTTATGGAAAACATGTTCCCAGCATCCTGTAACAGAAGGGGGACCATGCTTTTCACCATTCCCTTCCTACACTTTTTTTGCAGGTGCTTGCACTTTCTGGAACTGTTCTGTGAATCCTCCAGAATAGCAGGGAGAAGTACTGGTGGGGTGGGTGTGCTATAGTGAAAGGGAAATGGCAAAAAAATGCCTCCTCCCTTCTGTTAGTGGTTGACTTTGATAGCTGTAACCCTAAATGTGCAGTACTGTTTTAGGTTACCATGGTTCTATTTACAAATATGCTGAGGTTAGTGTTAGGGTTAGGTTAACATGTGTGATTACAGTGCAGAACACAATGCTTGAACTGAATGCTGTTCTTATAGATCTATTTTTTAATGTTTTATAGATTCATCATGCATTTAAGGCTCTTTATTTCCCCCCTCAGCAAATTCTGAAATTGATGTTTCTGTGTCTGCAAGAAATATACGAAGGTTACTGAGTTTCCAGCGGTACTTGAGATCTTCCCGTTTCTTCCGTGGTATCACTCTTCCAAATTCTTCAAACATTTTAGATGATGATTATAATGGACAAGCTAAGGTCTGTTTTTGAAACTATCATATAACTTTGCCATGAAAAAAATATTGATGTGTGTTAAGATCTGTAAGTGACCATGTATTGCATGTACTAAATACTTTTTGACTTATATTTATCCTCCATAGAAGTAAATAAAGCAAAAATAAAAATGAGGGTATGAGAATAATCAATAGTAAGATTACTACAGTTGGTAACAGGAAATAGTTTGAATAGCTCAGAAAATTCATTCACTGTGATGGTAAGCTGAGTGTGTATTGTTTTAGAAATTATAGTAGATAATAGATACTGTACTAGACTTGGCCAAAATGTCTTAAAAGGCAATGAAGTATAAAACCTAATTGGATAACTAAGTCAAATGCTGAAACTTCATTATATGTTTGCATTTAGTTGTGTTATAATTGGCAATACCTTATTCAGTCTGCCTCTTTTTGTTCTCTAGAACTAACATTATTTCCCTCAGATATTCCCCCTTCTTTTTCACTTCATTAGTGGTTTTAGAAACTGAACATCTCTTGAGTAAGAACAAATATTTCTAGATAATCATACATACAGTAAACTGAAGTTTTCCTCTTTAGTATTGTTTGTAAGGGAGAAGTCATGTCTGCCAATGCTCTAGGAAAAACCTTAAATTATGGTCCAAAGCCACTTGTTCCACTTTTTCTTCCTGCCCTTGTATAGTTTGTGAATGTGCTCCAGGAGCAGCAGGCACAATATGATGCTGTACTCATTCTGTGCATAAATATTTATATGCGGATATATGTATATTGGGATGCGGGTGGTGCTGTGGTCTAAACCATTGAGCCTCTTGGGCTTGCCAATCAGAAGGTTGGCAGTTCAAATCCGCACAACGAGGTAATGCTCTGTCCCAGCCAGTGCAAGTAGATAAATAGGTACCACTGCGGTGGGAAGGTAAATGGCTTTTCCGTGCACTTTGGTTTCCGTCAAGGTGTTCCGTTGTGCCAGAAGCGGTTTAGTCATGCTGGCCACACGACCTGGAAATCTGTCTGTGGACAAACGCCAGCTCCCTCGGCCTGAAAGCGAGATGAGCGCCACACCCCATAATCGCCTTTGACTGGACTTAACCATCCAGGGATCCTTTACCTTTTTACCTCTACCTTACAAATATGTATAATGACTTGTGCACAAGTTTGGTCCTTGTTTCCACAGGGGGCTGCTTAAATCAGTCTTAGGGTATTGTTACTCTGTACAGTGGATTTGCCACATCTGGCACAATATAACTATTCTCTGTGATAGCTTATTTGTTCATGTGGATGAGAAGATTGGAGGAGGAGTGTGTAAACTGAACATTTTCAGAGCCCGTGATGAAATCTTTTTAGTAAGCCAATATGTGCACGAGCTTCGTGTACTCACACACAGCCCCCTTTGCTTCTCCTTTTGTGTGAATTGAACAAGCTAGGAAGCCACAGTTAACCATACTTCCTGTTGAGAGCTATCTGGAAGCCTAGGAAGCCACAGTTGACCATACTTCCTGTTGAGAGCTATCTGGAAGCCAACTTTAAACCATGGGTTCATATTCTAGCTTGTCCCGTCCCCCAATGAAGGGAGGAGTGAAGTGGAAGCAAAAGGGCTACATGGGAGTGCATGAAGCTTTTGCACATCCCTGTTTATTAAACTGAGATTTGGCTATGTTTGGGTGATCAGTGTATCTTAAGGAAAGAGTGTTTATCAATGCTTTTTCGATATAAGATAGTATTGTAACTTCCAGATGAGAGAACATTGTGGCTGTAAGAAGCCAGCCAGCTGCAACTTATGACCCATTAGGCAAGATCAGTTGCAGAATGACAGTTTCTGGGGTTTGTGAAACAGAAATAAGTGGTGTGGTTACAAATATGCTACTGATCACCTTTTACATCTTTGCTAGTTCATTTTCAGTATCCTGTCTTGATTTGTGGGGTGAAAGGAAGGTGAATCAGATATGCAATGTATTCAGATAAGTGCTTTTAACTTACTTGTGAAACTTCCTTTTTGTTTTCCTTTCAGTGTATGCTAGAAAAAGTTGGAAACTGGAATTTTGACATTTTCCTTTTTGACAGGTTAACGAATGGTAAGATTAGTGGTTTTTTAAATATTACTCTTTAAGTCAGTTGTCCACTAAGCCAGTCCCTTTCTCCTACTTTTCATTGAAGAAAGTTCCTTTTTAAAGTTGTGAATGAGTGGCTGTTTCATGCAAACATTAAGTGCACATCCCAGACTCACTACTGATACTGTATTATTCAGGTATGGATAGCCCATATGACCTTGTTATTTTCAACAAAAATATGCTAATTCCTTACATCCCTTTATACCTTGATTACCATGTATCCTGTATGGACTTAAATTTGTAGTGTTGGAAATAACTTCTCTCTGAGAAAGAAATCCTGTGACTTAAGCAACTTGAAACAGGCAGTATATTCAGTTTTAAATATCTGTTTTACACTATATATTTGAAATGGACAATATTTATGTAGGGTATGGTTACCATATTTTATATTTTCTTCCTCTTAATGTAAAAAATATTACCATGTGTATTAAAACCCACTGAATTCTCATTGATTAGCTTTACAGAATGTAGTTGATTATTAAATTTGACCACTTGTCCTGAGAAGCATTTGCTAGACACTTATTCTGTTTCTGTGAAATGAGATAAAGTTACGTTTTTTTTCTCTTCCAAATTCTCTTTATTTATTTCACACATACTTCCAAAAAAAGAACAAACAAATAAAGAAAAAAGAAAAGAAAAAACCAGAACATCAAGTATCAAAACCATTATTACATAAAAGAGATAATGGTGATTAAAAAGTTGACAAATAAGACATAGATGTTATTCTTCAATTCAATTCCTGTTCTTCTTCTTTGTTTCTATAAAACTTTAATAGTCTATCTCACTCTTCATCCCCCTACTGACTTCCTTCCCTCCAACTTTTAGGCTTCCTTGTATCTACGGTTTGTCTCTTCGCAGTCGTTTAGTTAGTCTGTTTACACATCATGAGATTTATATCGAACCCACTATAGTCTTTAAATTTCTATGTTTCCCTTCAATATAAGTCAAGAATTTGTTCCAGTCGTTCACAAACTTTGCATTCTTTTGGTTCCTAATTTTTTGTGTCAATTTTGCTAGGTTAACAAATTCAAATAGTTTTGTTTGCCACTCTTCAATTGATGGGGTGTTTTGACTCTTCCAATTTTGGGCAATTAACAATCTGGCTGCAGTCGTAGCATATTGGAATAGCACTTTATCCTCTTTTTTAATCTCGTCCCCCACGATTCCTAGTAGGAATGCTTCCGGTCGTTTAGGAAATGTGTATTTAAATATTTTTTTCATCTCATTATATATAGATTCCCAATATTTCTTCATTTCCTCGCATGTCCACCACATGTGGAAGAAATCACCCTCTTTAGTCCTACACTTCCAGCAGTTCTTATTTCCTGTCTTGTACATTTTCCCTAGTTTTGCTGGGGTGATGTACCACCTATACATCATCTTTTCTAAGTTCTCCCTAAGTGATACACATGCCATAAATTTCATTCCACTAGACCATAATTCTGACCGTTTGTCATACTCTATATTGTAACCCGGATCCATTGCCCATCTTGTCATTACCCCTTTTATTTCTTCATCTTTCGTGTCCCATTCTAATAATATATCATACATTTTTGATAATAATTTATGTTTACCTTCAATTATCTCTATCTGGAACCTCGACTTTTTATCATTCATACCCATTTTTTTATCCGCTGTCCATATCGCATTTATTTGATGGAATTGCAGCCATCCAGAGAGCCTATCTTTCAATTCTTCAAACGTTTTCATCCTCCATCCACTATCCGTTCTTGTCAACAAATCCTCATATGTTAATCTTACTCCCTCCATATTGACCTTTTTTATTATCAGTATATCCATTGGGGATAACCACCAAGGTGTTTTCCATTCTAAAAGTTTTTTATTTCTTTCCCACACTTCTAAGAGGGGCCCCCTGATAATATGATTCGAAAATCCCTTATGTATCCTTTCTTTATTTTGCCACAAATAGGAGTGCCAGTCAAACCTATTGTCTGATCCCCCCAGATCTAACAAATCGGTGTTTTCTAGGGTAATCCAGTCCCTAATCCAACAGAGACTGGCAGCTTCGTAATAAAGTTTCAGGTTAGGTACCGAAAACCCTCCTCTCTCTTTCTTATCCGTAAGTATTTTAAAATTAATTCTGGGTCTTTTGTTCTGCCATATAAATTTCGATATGGTTCTCTGCCACTCCTTGAATAAATTAATACCTCTAATTACCGGGATATTTTGAAACAAGAATAACATTCTCGGGAGTAAGTTCATTTTTATCGCTGCCATTCTTCCTCTCCACGAAAGCTTCACTCTGCTCCATGTTTCTAGATCTTTTTTGATTTCCTTCCATGTTGTAATGTAATTATCCTGGATCAGATTTATATTTTTTGAGGTTAACCAGATTCCCAAATATCTAATTTTTTTTGCCACTTTAATGCCATACATCCTCTCCAATTTCTCATTATCTTCCTTTCTAATATTCTTGGTCAGCATCTTAGTTTTTACTTTATTTAATTTAAATCCAGACAACTTGCCAAACTCCTCTAACTTTTCCAACACAACTCCCAGACTTCCTTGCGGATTTTCCTGAGAGAGCATTAAGTCATCCGCGTACGCTTTTAACTTAAATTCTTTTATTCCTATTTTGATCCCCCTGATTTCTGGTGTTGCTCTTATTTTATTTAAGATCACCTCCAAGCCCATGATGAATAGCAATGGCGACAGGGGGCATCCCTGTCTTGTTCCTTTTCCGATCTTAAAGGAATTTGTTAAATTATTATTTATAATCAGTTTTGCAGATTGGCTTGAATAAATTGCTTTTATTCCCTCCATAAACTCACCTTCTATTCCTACTTTCTCCATACTTTTCAGTAAAAACCTCCACGAGACATTATCAAAAACCTTTTCGGCATCTATGAAAATTAGCGCCGCGGGTATTTCATTTTTGGCCTCCAAATATTCAATAAGGTTAACCGTATGTCTTATATTATCTTTCAAAAACCTATTAGGGAGAAATCCAGCCTGGTCTTTATGTATTATATTTACTAAACACTTTTTTAGCCTATTCGCCATCACTTCCGCGAAGATTTTATAATCGTTATTCAAAAGTGAAATGGGCCTATAATTTTTAATATCCAATTTATCCGTATCTGGTTTCGGAATCATTGTGATATGGGCTTCTTTCCATGTCTCTGGAACCTTTCCTCCTCTTAAGATATTATTCATGGTGTCGCGTAATATTGGTGTTAATTGGCTTTCTAATACTTTGTAATATTTTGCCGACAACCCGTCCGGCCCGGGGGCTTTCCCCAATTTCATTTTTCTTATTGCCCCTTGAATCTCCTCTGTTGTTATGGGGTTGTTTAGTCGGGTTCTTTCCTCCTCTGTTATGTTCCTCCCTCTGTAATTTTCTAAATATTTCTCTATTTGGGTTATATCTTCCTTCTCTTTTTTGTACAGCTTCTCGTAGAATTTAAGGAAATTTTCTTTTATTTCTTTTGGGTCTTCTATCAACTGCTCATTTACTTTTATTTTGTTTATCATGTTTTGTTTTTGTCTTTTTCGGAGTTGCCAAGCTGATAATTTACCCGTTTTGTTGGCTGACTCGAAATATTTTTGTTTCATTAATTTAATTTTCCATTCTACTTCCTCGCTTGTCAACAGCGAGTACTGAGATTGTAACATTTTTATTATTTGTATGTTTTGTTCATCTTTTGGGTTTCTTGCTAACTTTTTCTCACATTCTCCTATCTGTGTTAGAATTTCCTCTTTCTTTTGTTCTTTTATCTTCCTCCTGTAACTATTCTGTTGGATAAAGAACCCTCTTAACACCGCCTTACTGGCATCCCACACCATGTCTATACCTACTTCTGTATTTAGGTTCAAATCAAAATAATTTCTTAAAGTGGACTTTTTTCCCTTAAAGTTACGTTTTTTAAAGGAGACGGTACATTCCATGAAGTCTGAATTTTTAAAGTGGTTCTCAACCTTTATGAGTATGCATACCTCTTTTAAACCCCCCCCCATTTATTTATTTTTACAGACTTTTAGAAGCTTTAAGATTCCACACCCCCCCTCTTATTTGAGCATCCAGAGGCACAGATGGCATTGGGATGCTATATTAAAGCCCTTGGCAAAATCTTTCTTTGAAGGAGCCTCTCCCTCCTTTAATCTAAAAATGTGTTACATTTCACAATTTTCATATTCATTTGAGTAGATTATCCAATACAGAAATTTCATTTATATGAGATCTGTGTTTTTATAAAATTCTGAACTGACAAATGCTATTAAACTGATGGGTTCACTTTGCATCACCTAGTGATTTTTCTCAGTCCCAATTCATTGCTGATGGATCAGATGTTTTGCACTGAAGTAAAAACACTAAATCTTAAAGCTTTAATTACTATTCTGCCTGAGTAAAAAATAGAAACAAAATGTGCTTGAAATTCTTAATCATTATGTTGAATGAAACCACTGTTGTTCTGTGGATCAGGAGGAATAATTATAGTAACTTAGCCTGTGATGGTAGTATACCACAGAGCTTTGCTAGTAATGTGGATAATAGAGATAATAGAATATTAGCTGTCAGTTACTTGCAAAAACTAGTAAGTAAGATTTCTTGTAGCTGGTCTGGAAGCATGTGCTGTATGACTTGCTTCAGGCCCATGCAATAGAGTGCCTTAAAACATTTAGCCTGTCTACATTTTTGATGCTTCCCATTAAAGATGATTTTGTGTTTTTTGGTTTTTTTTAGGAAACAGTTTAGTCACCTTAACCTTCCACCTGTTTAATCTTCATGGACTTGTAGAGCACTTCCAACTAGATACAATGAAGCTCCGCCGATTTTTAGGTAAAAATTTTCAGAGGTTCAATTAAGTCATTTTTCCAAAAATAGGCTACAACAGCCCATTTGCTACTTTAAATTATGCTGTCCAGCATGGAGAACCCTAAGGAACTGGGGAGAAGAGAGAAAAGGGTGATAGACTCATGAAATGATGGGTATTGCTGTTACTGTCATGCTAGTTGCCAATTTATTTTGCAAGTTTTAAAGTGTTTCTGTTAAAAGTGGACACGCATCTTCTAAAGACTTTTTAAAAACCTGCTGTATACCGTTTACTGGTGGGTGGGAGGAAAGAATGTTGGATGGCACAGGTGCTAGCCAGCAGTTGCCATGTGCCCCGCCACATCCAACCATGCTTCACAAAGCACTGCAAACCACAACAGATGTGTTAACTGTATGAAAGCCTGCATTAAAATATTACTAAAAAACGAGAGGAACCCACATCTAAAATGCTTCCTTGGAGAAGGAAAGATGACTCTTTTTGTGTTATAGCTGTGTTGTTTAGTAAACAATGTAAAACACTAGTCAATAAAGGTTTTTGTTTCAATGTTACATTTAGAGCTGCATAAAAATGCATTTTGTATAATGGGATTTTCCTATAATAGAACAGCTTTATTCCATTCTGTACTTTATTTTGGAAAATCAGTTAATGGAAACCTAAAGGATGAGAGAGAGAGAGCGCAAAGGAATCGGATAACTTTTGATAGTTCAAAATAAACAATAAAACTTGCCTTGATTACAGAAAATTCAAATTACTGTATTTTGAACCTGCATTTCTGAGGCAGCAATTGCCATTGTGCATCTGCTGAATGCTAAGTTAATATATAATGCAAGTACACATGAGTGTATGTATTTTGCTTTATAAAATGAAAAATGGAGATTAGCATGTTCTGTAATTCACATTTCTCTAAGTAGTGTAGTAAGGAGACAAACCTGCTTATTCTTGTGAGGGCAGTGGAGAAGCAGTTACTCCTAAAGAACAGGCTTTATTTTGTCCCAGATATGTTAGCTTTTGAAATAAATTGTCAAGGCTAAGCAATGGTAATGCCATCAAAGACCAGGCACTGTTTGTCAATTATTTGTTTGATGCATGCAATTATATTATATTATATTCTTTATATATCTAAAACCCTGTGAGTAAGGAAATCTTTATTGCCCCCTAAATTTCTTAAAGGGACGCAGGTGGTGCTGTGGGTAAATCCTCAGTGCCTATGGCTTGCCGATCGCATGGTCGGCGGTTCGAATCCCCGCGGCGGGGTGAGCTCCCATCTTTCGGTCCCAGCTCCTGCCCACCTAGCAGTTTGAAAGCACCCTTAAGTGCAAGTAGATAAATAGGTACCGCTTACCTAGCGGGAAGGTAAACGGCGTTTCCGTGTGCTGCGCTGGTGCTGGCTTGCCAGAGCAGCTTCGTCACGCTGGCCACGTGACCCGGAAGTGTCTCCGGACAGCGCTGGCCCCCGGCCTCTTAAGTGAGATGGGCGCACAACCCTAGAGTCGGACACGACTGGCCCGTACGGGCAGGGGTACCTTTAACTTTACTAAATTTCTTAAAGTTTTAAAAACTAATACGCTGGTCTGCTTCCTGACCTAGTAACCTAATTCTTATTTTTTAAAATTAATATAAAACCACATTCTTTATAAGCATGCCCAATTATTATTATTATTATTTTGGGGGGGAGACTGGATTTGTTTGAAATCCTCTATGAAGAGAACTATTATTGAAGCCCAGTCCTACAGCTTATATCCTCATGGATAGTTTTGAGATGTGTAAGCCCTTTGGGTTAGTATCCAGCTGAACAATTCTTCTAAAGCAAGGGCTTTTAGCTGTGCAATAGAACTTTCCCTCCCCCTCCCAGCATACTCTCTAAATCTGTTCGGGGGGGGGTGTCGCACAACCCTCTGGAGCAGGTTTACTGGTCATGTGGAAAATGGGAAGAGCAGGGAAGTTCTATTGCACAGCTAAAAAACTGGCAGAACTGTTTATAATTGGATACTGTTGTTTAGTAGTCAACACACACACACACACACACACAAACAAAGATGGTTCTGCTTAAATAATATACTGGTCTGTTGAGTTGGAGGCACAACTGTATATGCCTTGGTTTATACTTTTAGTTGTTTCTGGAATGCTGCAATAGTAATATGGTTGAGTGGTGTAAGTTTCTTCTAAAATTTATATGCTATGTAAAGTGTGAGTTCGATCCTCTATGTGAGCACCTAATAAGGGCAAACACCTGGTTTACATGATTACTCCTCCACCATTTTAGATGTAGGGGAAATAATGTGCACTGGGACTTTATGGACAGATATTCTAGTGCATACAGCCTGATTTGCACTGAAGGTAATCTGCATGGTGGAAGGAGGATCATGGGCTCATACTGCTGCTGGCTGAATGTGTGACCAAAGCTGTTTGGTTTTTCAATAGTAACTTATAAAATAAAAGTGCACGATGATATGGAAGGTAAATTAATGCAAGATTTCTTCTCATTTGTAGTAATGGTTCAAGAAGATTACCACAGTCACAACCCATACCACAATGCAGTTCATGCTGCTGATGTGACTCAGGCCATGCACTGTTTTTTAAAAGAACCTAAGGTAAAAATATCTCCTTAACAGATTTCAGCAAAGAAGTTATACAGTTTCAAAAGCAGATTTCATGTGGCATGGGACCGGCCTTTTTAAAAAACAAATAAGTAAATACTAGTTTTGTGTAATAAAAATGTACACCCCCCTTACTGCTTTAAAAGAGTAAGGGCTTTTTCGGCTGTGGCTCCGATCTGGTGGAACACTCTGTCACAAGAGACCAGGGCCCTGCGGGACTTGACATCTTTCCACAGGGCCTGCAAGACAGAGCTGTTCCACCAGGCCTTTGGCCAGGGCACAGCCTGACTCCCTCCCTCGGCAATCTTCGCGGAGCTCTGGCCCAATGGTTGCCAGTGGCTTGAATTAATTAATTTTATAATGAATGATTTTACAGTGTTGTTTATGCTGTACTTTTGTACTGTTTTATTGTTGTTAGCCGCCCTGAGCCCGGCTTCGGCTGGGGAGGGCGGGATATAAATAAAATTTATTATTATTATTATTATTAGTCTTCCTACAGAGAACTCTGAATCCTATATTCTAGATAAAAGTATAAATAAATGAAAGAAGAATTTGAGGCATTGAAAGATGAAATTCAGTGCATTTTTTAAAAGAACAAATGCAACCCAAGTTTGCTTGAAGTGTCAGTAGTGAATATTCATGTGGTCGTGCTTTATATATTACAGCTTTCCCAGTCCCTGACTCCATGGGATACTCTTCTTGGCTTAATTGCAGCTGCCACTCATGATTTGGATCACCCAGGTGTTAATCAGCCTTTCCTTATTAAAACAAACCATTATTTAGCAACTTTATACAAGGTAAGTGAGGAAAAATATTTCTGTTCGGAAAAACATAACCAAGTGCAAAAATGCTTACTTGCTGGTAGTCACAAATTCTTGGTGGGAGAGATTTTTAAAAGAGTGATTTAATTATTTATAGCAGTTTTGGGGAATGGATTGGCTCAAAAAGTGGCCACACCTCTGGGAGCAATCTTTGACTGGTGGAAAGGCCTAAATCTGCCAGAAAACATTGTGTCTTGTATTTGGTGTTGTTTCAGTTCAGCGCTGAATGCAAGCCATGCTGCTTTCAGCAGAAAACTTCCCTGCTTAGGAGCTGCAATTCCCACAAGGAATCAATCCAGCCGGGGTTGCGTTTAGCATAATAATTAAATAGCACCAAATGCAAGCTCTGCTGCCAAGGAACAGTTGGGATTGTGCTGTACGTGTCAATTACCTGGTGCCATATGATTGACAGCTGGGCATGGCCAACCAGAAAAGGTGTACAAGCTAAATTGTCCAGCTTGGGGTGCCTATTGCACAACGATCTGAAGCTGAAGTTGGTTGGGGCAGGCCTTGTGTGATTTAAGGTTTTTAACATCAAAGCTGGTGCCTGGGAGCAAACTGGTAACCAGTGAAGCCCATAGAAGAGCTATGTAACGATGGTCTGAATGGAAAGCTTCTTCCAGCAGCCACATTCTGGAATCCAAAGGTGTAAATGAGAGAGTTGGGTAGCGTCTTCTGCATACTGATGATGCCGTATCCCAAAGCTCTGGGTAACCTCCCAGTGATTTCATGTAGATGTTGAAAAAGCATGGGAGATGAAATTAAACTTTATGCCACCCATAGCATATGCACCACATGCTGGAACTTTCCCCTACGGTAGGACTGGAGCCATTTTGAGCCACAATATTGCCTAGTCCCAAGTTGGAGAGAGAATTCTGAAGGATGACACTGAAAACCACAGAGACAACCAGGAGAGGTTGTACTCGCCCTGTCTATCCCCTAGTGAAGTATTGGCATAAAGGATTGTTCATTCATGAAAATACAATTCAGAATTTAATGAATATTTGATGACCATAATTCTCTCTCTTCCTCTTCCCCTTCCTTTCAGAATACCTCAGTATTGGAAAATCACCACTGGAGATCTGCAGTGGGATTGTTAAGAGAATCTGGATTATTTGCACATATGTCACTAGAAAACAGGTATGTGTCAGATTTGCAGTATCGCATGCATCTATGGAAAATATATTGCAGAACATTTTAAATGGATGTGAAATGGAAGTAAAAACACATTTCCAAGTAATATAATTTACTGCATCTTCATATGATGAAGGCAATTGTATCCCATCCACCCCAATCAAAACAAAACAAATCTTGATGCCTAACTTGCTACACTTGTAAAGTGTACACTTTTCATGTTTATCACAAAAAAAGCTAACAAAGCTAACAAAGACTGTTTAAATGTTGGTCACTTATTTCATTCTTCTTTCTGTGTATCTCCAATTTAAGGCAGCTGATGGAAAGCCAGATAGGAGCACTGATACTTGCCACTGATATCAGTCGGCAAAATGAATATCTATCCCTATTTCGCAGTCATTTGGATAAGGAAGATTTATGCTTAACAGAGGAAAATCATCGTCATCTCATTCTTCAGGTAATTGTTTGGTCCCTAAATAGAAAAGTAGTACAACTGTTCAGTAACAACTGCTTTGCAGTCTACAATAACTTTTGGTTGATGCACATAGGTTTGAAGATGGCCTTATGTGTTATCTGATGGCATAGTTCTAACAAAAATAGTTTTCTAGTACAGAAAACTTAGATATTCCATTTACCAGTAAAATGGTTGCAAATGTTTATCTTACTCTGTTCACCACAATCTTAAAACAATTGAAATTATTTTAAAAAAGATATTCTTTAACACTTTAAAATCCTGTTAATTATCTAAGTGATCTTGCTGTTGTTGCAGAATGTTGGGAAATGAGAGGAGCTTTTTTTAACTGAGCACTTAGGAAAAATGCTAGCTACCTGCTTTTCTTAATATTTTACCTGTACAAGTAAAACAATCAAATTGCTTTCCAGAGCCTCCAGCCCCAGTGGCTACAGGCCTAAAATAACTCCTTAGGAATCAGTCCCCTGTGCTCATTAACATGGAAGTAAGCACCATTGAACACAAGTGGGACTTGTGTGTCTAAAGCATGCCATAATCAGGCCGGATTAAGATTCATTGAAGCTTTGGAGGTATGCTAATTTGAGTGAGAGAAAGCTGAAAAACATTGCCATTTATAGTACAGAAATGCATTGTTCTGATTAAAGGAACCACAATTTTGTTGCCTCCAAACATTAAATCCCCATTTGCAGCCATTTTATACTTCCTTGTATGTATTCATAGCAGCCTTGTAGTTAGGCTAGGCTGGGAGTTGGCAAGTGGCCCAAACCAAGAAGTGGTCAAAAACGAGGATGAAAAGGGGGGCCTATTCTGGACATTTCAACAGACCCTCAACCACCTTAAGCCAGTCTTGCTTCTGAAACTTTTCCAAACAAGAAAGCAATAGCATAAGAATGTAAGAAGAGCCCTGCTGGATCAGGCCACAGTCCCATCTAATCTGTTCTGCTCTCACCATGACCAACCTGATGCCTATGGGAAACCACATGCTGGACCTGAGTGCAACAGTGTTTTCCCCTTTGTGATTCCCAGCACTGGTATTTAGAGGCATACTGTCTCCAATAGTGAAGTCATCATGGTTGGTAGTCACTGATAGGCTTATCCGCCATAAATTTGTCTAATCCGTTTTTAAAGCCATCCATGTAAATGGCCATCACTGCTTCTTGTGGGAGCGAGTTCTGTAGTTTAACATTCCGTAGCCAAAACAGTGTGCTCTGTTGCCCTGGGCTCCTTTTGGAGGAAGGGTGGGATACAAATTTTAAAAAGAAATAAAAGCAACGTTGCATTAATTTACAGGCAGGCATTCGTAAATGGTGAAGGATGAAGTGCAGTGTATTGATGAATGCTCTTTCATGATAACCAGACATAGCCATATTAAATTGATATTGCTTGCTATCAGACTTCTTTATTGGTGCTATGGAAGATGAATGTCTTCATAATTATCCAAGATTGCATTGATGTTTCTGGGAGAAGTTAACTCATACATGTTTAAACATATTTCCTTCCCAAAACACACCGCTTGTTCAGCTAAGTTGCATTGGATTTAGTGATAGTGATCCACATGTGTGCTGCATTGTATCCCCCTTTGTTACTCAGTATCACTTGTCCATTACATATTGTTAAGGATTTTAAAAGAAGCTGACTTAGAAGTCACAGAATCAAGGAGTTGGAAGGGACTGACAGGGTCATCTCGTCAGCCTCCCGCAATGCAGGAATCCTGCTCACAGCCATCCCTGGGTGGCCTAAACCTCCAACCTTCTTTTTAACAGCCAGATGTACTGACCCATTGTGCCATGTGACACTTTGCATCATCTGAAGTTGCAAAACTTAAGTGTGTAGTTGTTAGCAGGCCACAATATCTTGCATAATATGTTGATGGTTTGTCTTATTTACTAGATGGCTTTGAAATGTGCTGATATTTGCAACCCCTGCCGGACTTGGGAATTAAGCAAGCAGTGGAGTGAAAAAGTAACAGAAGAATTCTTTCATCAAGGCAAGTAGCGAAAAGTGATTTCACTGTGGAATGTGAAACAAAATGATAAAAGAATTGTAGTGAAGCATGGCTCCTACAGAAAATAGAAAATTTTATTATTTGCAATGAATGCACCTTGAATGGTTTCCTCAGACCGTTTTTACTGTATAGATTGCAGATTCGCAGAACACTTGACATTTCTGCTTACCTTAACTTTAACTGGATGAGAAGCTATTTCACAGTAATAAAGTTTTTATTTTCACCTGCTGCTTCTGTCCAAAGCCACATGTATTGAGGGAAAAAAAAAGCTGAATTTATCTCCGTAGAATTGCTTGATGATTAAAAATTATTTAGGACTGTGCCATGCAAGTTAAAAGGTTGGACACACCGTTTTGTTGTACATGGATTTAAGTTGTCAGTGCAATTGAGATGGAATTGCAGTTAGGTTTCTGGAATCTTGCACTTTTTGAAATTGTATATAAAATCTTTTAACTGTGCAGATCTTTGCTGGTATTGCATTAACTAACTTGGGCTTGCCGATCGAAAGGTCGGCGGTTTGAATCCCTGTAACGGGGTGAGATGAGCTCCCATTTTTCGGTCCCAGCTCTTGCCAACCTAGCAGTTTGAAAGCATGTAGTGCAAGTAGATAAATAGGTACCTCTCCAGCAGGAAGGTAAACAGTGTTTCTGTGCGCTGCTCTGGTTTCGCCGGAAGTGGCTTAGTCATGCTGGCCACATGACCCAGAAAAACTGTGGAAGCGGACAAATGCCAGCTCCCTCAGCCTGTAAAGCGAGATGAGTGCCGCAACCCCAGAGTCGTTTGCGACTGGACTTAATTGTCAGGGGTGCCTACTCATTAGCTCAGCTTTTGAGTACAATATACTGTTACTGGATCATTATCACTTCTCACAAGCAGCGATTTCCCTTCAAATAGCAATCAAAGGTTGGTTAAGTCTTGTCACTTTTCTCACTTAGGATTTTTTGTTTTTGAAATGCATTTATGTATTTCAACAATATGGTTTTTAAGGCAGGGAGTGGAAGATTTTGAACCTGAAGCAGCTAACTTGGCCCTATGGTTTGGATCTACAGCCTGAAAGTTCACCTGCAAACTTTCTGCAAACCATTCTTGTATGAGAGATTATTACAATAGTGATAATTATGGCATTCTACAGGTCTTGTGAAGTAGTTCAACTCATGATGTATTTTTTAATGGAAAAATTCATAATGGAAAACATGCTACTGATCTTTCAAGTTGCATTTGCTCATTGAGAGATAAATGGGTAACTTTCTTGCTGGGTAATTCCATATCAAGTGATCCAACTTTTTTACCTCATGTTATCCAATTTTCTCAATATTTTGTACACTTGTTGAATGATAAAAACTAAGTTTAAATCTAAATTTTAGCATTTTATCTCATCTTGTTGCTCAGCCCAGCATTGAGATAAGTCAAAACTAAAAACACCAATCTCTTCAGAACCTCATGGGCTTTAATATATGTCACAAGATGGACTTTGTATTTGTATTGTAATTGAAGTTACAAAACTTAAAATTTTAAAAAGAATAGATACAATTTAAAAATTTGAAAAAAATGTATTATTTAATATTTCTAAGAACTACCTGCAAAATTTCATTTTGGGATCTCAATGGGATCACATTGAAAAAAATATTTTGTATATACATGTCTGCCTTATTGGGTTCTGTTTAGGATAAATGGGTCTTCTTGGAGTAAAACATAAGAGAAGAAACAAGACTTCAAACTATAATATCAGTTACTTCAGGCAGTTCTTTAGAAAGTTATGCAATTAAAAGATATCTGAAAAGCTAGTCAGGGTTTTCTTTTAAAAACGTGTTCCAAAGCAGAGTGACAGCTTATTGCATTATAGAATTAACGTTTAGAAAGAATTATTGTTAGTACTTCATTTCATGAGCATTACAACAAAATGCTAGATCATATATGCTAGATCATTTATATTTGTAAACAGTTATGAAGCTAGTGTTCAAATGATAAAGCTGTGGTTTTAAATACAGCAGCTTTATTAAACAACTGAAATTACATTTCTTAGATCTGTCTGGTATCTGTTAACATTAATAATAGTTAAATGAAAAACCTTAACACTTTCAGTTTTGTTGAATTGTAGAAAATGGCTTATTAAATTAGTATTCTGTTTGTAGGAGATGTTGAGAAAAAATACTGCTTGGGGGTGAGTCCGCTGTGTGATCGACAAACAGAAACCATTGCCAACATCCAGATTGGTAACTACAGATCTATGTGATAAGTTACTATAGTTTCCATTAATATATAATATAGGGAAGATAAACTGTGTGATGTTTAATTTTAAAATATTTGACAGTTTTTAAGAGAACATTTTGGGTGGTATTCAGCTTAGTTTTACTCAGTGTAGACCCACTGAAATGATGAACATGTCCAAGTTAGGGCTATTAATTTCAGTTAACTACTGTTAAGTTTAGTGAATGCTACCCTATGTTTAGTTGTTGTTGTTGAAATTTCCATTTCCATGAAATAGGAAGTGTATAGAGAGAGTTTTCTGTTTTCTCATCTGGCATTTATATTTCTTTGCCTGGATAAATTCTCACAGCTGCTTGTGAAGAGGCTTTAATTGTGACTTTAGGTCAGATTCAATTTTGTGGCAAATTATTTATTTTAAAGAGGATACTTGTTTTCTACTGGGCTACTTATGAATCACCCTGAGATTCATGGATGAAGGACGGTATACAAATTTATTATTTTTACTATTTTTAAATGATGGAAATTTAAACAACATTGGCAGTATTCAACGAAAGAGTTGTGCTACTGCAAGTGGTGCCCCCTTTGCCCTTCCAGATCTGCTTAACAGGGTATGGGGGAATCCACAGAACAGATTCAGGAACTGCACAGTGGTGGGGGTGGAGCGGTGGGAGGAAATATTCCATTTGCTTAATGCTGTGTTTCCAGAGTTGGAAATTTGGTTTGAAGTGTGCTTTTTAATTCTGAGTTGTAGGCAAACTATGTCTTATTTGGACATCACAGCAAACCATGGAGACTTGCATGCACAACTCCTTTCCGCACATCCTGGTTTGATGTGGAGGAAGGAGTTGCTATGCACACAAGTCTCCAGCATGTTTGGTCTCAAGCAATTGAAAGCTAGTAACCAAAAGAAGCAGCATTTAAATTTCTTGACCAGTATTTACCCATAAAGTCCCTTACTTGATTCATGACGGCACTACCACATGTTTCCTGTCATAGCAGCATGGTGAAATCAGAGGGCTTTCCTTTACCTGATCAGTTTGAAGCAGCAAATGTTTATGGTTACTGATCTGACCCATATGAGAGTTTTTGAACCCAGCAGTTTTTGTGTGATCAAAACCTCACACTCTACACAAAAAAATATGTTGTATTCCTTAGGGCTTGAGAGAGAGAGAGCTTGTGTGCTGCTTTATTTTGCATTTGTACTAAAATGTATATATTATTTTATTTAGTTTATAAATTGCCTTTCGAAAAGCACTCTGAGCAAATGTAATAAGTACAGGAAGATAAAAACACAGTAAACTCATTCAAATAACTCTTAATATTGAAATGTTACATGGAAAACACACAGTCTCTTGTTTCTGGGGTTCTAATTCCAGGGTGTTTTTTCTCATTAGGTTTTATGACCTATTTGGTGGAACCATTATTCACAGAGTGGGCTCGTTTCTCAAACACCAGACTATCTCAAACGATGCTTGGTCATTTGGGATTGAATAAAGCTAGCTGGAAGGGTGTGCAGAGAGAACAATCCAGCAGCGGTGATGATACTGATCCTGCATTTGAGGAAATGGACTCTGATGTTATACCTCAGGAACACCGACTATCCTGACCCCAGGATCTGCTTAACAAAAACTGCCTCTTGCCTGGTATCTGTGGAACAGGGTTTGAGGATAAATTTTGTCTGACTGCCAAGGTTTCAGTGTAAACAATGCCAGCATTATTTATTTCCAAGTTTTTCCTTTGATAAATCAAAGGAATTAGAGAAAATTTGAAATCATTTGAACCCAGTTTTCAGTTACAAGACCTGAACATAGAGCAATATGCATATGCCTTGTTTGGCTTCTGCATGGATCCTTGAATATGCAAACCAGAGGAGTGGTTGAAGCTTGACCGAGGGGAAAGTACGAGAAAATATTGTTGCGTGCCACATCGCTTTGTTTTTATTTGTTTTTAGAGAAAATTTGAAATCAGGCCTTCAAAATTGCCACATGACATGGTGGATGACTCCTTCTCTTGGAATTTAACAAGACTCATTCAGTCCTTGTCCAAAATGTGGAAGAGTGAAGTGCCCCTACTTGGATGCCTCTGGCAAGAACTGATGTTTACAAATGTACTTGGAAACTATAGGTTCTAAATTAATCTTTCTGCATGGCTGTGAAGGAACCACTAATTTTTTAAAAAAGGAAGACAAAGAGATCAAATCTGAAACTGCAGCTCATTTTCCTGCTAGTAAAAAAGAAAGTATCCCATGTGTCATAATTTTGGCTGTGCATTGGAAAGAGCATTTTTTTACATAAAGCACAGCCAAGCTTTTACTCCAGTGCAGAATGGGAATGCAATTACAGCGGGCAGAAATACTTCTGGATTTTGGGAGGGGATGTGGGATGGTATAGAGGAGGAAAAGAAGAGTCTTCATTGTGCTAAGATTCTGCCGTGGAAACATTTGCATGTTGTTTTCACTATTGTACACTTGAACTGCACATGCAAGGGAAAACAGGTGGAATGATTATGAACACCAGAAACAGCTCAGGGTATTTGCCAATCTGAAATAAAGTGGGATGGGAAGTGTGTCCTTCAGAACAAGGGTACAAATGCCCCTTTCGCTGCAGTGTGTGTATGTGTGTGTGTATGTATGTGTGAGAGAGAGAGAGAGAGAGAGAGAGAGAGAGAGAGAGAGAGAGAAAGTTTGTGTGTGTTTGTGTGTGTGAATACTTGGGGATGGGGGGTGGGTTGGGGAGGAAGGGAACAATAGGAAGGATTTGAAAGGTAATGTTTTTTTATTTATTCTTTTTAGAATGTGACATTTTCATGAGCAGCCACAGGGGGGAAAGGAACAGGTTGCTACAGCTGCCTTAAACTATGCACAAAGCTAAGTGACCAAATTTTGTTGTTGATTGAAAAAGTGCATTGTTTACTTATTCCTCCCTCTACTGAAATGCTCCCCATTATGGGGTTTTTTGATGTGAAAAGGAGAAAATGTTTTTAAGGACAAATTTTAAGGACTAATTTTTAATCTTCAAGCATTCCTTTTTTGTAATTTGTTTTTTACATTGTTTTAAGTACTGTAAGCACAACTGTAATCTATTTTGAGGAATTGGTGCTTTCTTTTTGTTCATTTGTATTTCCCTTGTTACTGTAAAGACTGTTTATTCCATTCTGTTTACAGTTTGCAACAGCCATTTTTGGGAGAGAGCTTCAGTGTAAAGCCATTTGTAAAAGGCTTTGCCATACTCATTTTAATGTGCCTGTTGCTGTTAACTTTTGATTAATAATAAAAAACTTTTCACATTATCTCCTGAGTCCAGCCTTAGAAAAGTAGCTGAAACCACCTTAACCACATATTCCCCCTTTGTAACTCCTTTGAGACTTGTTTAAACAGGTCATTACAGTGTTTCAAACTTACTTTGATCATAAAATTGAGAAGGCATAGGAAGAAAACAAGTCTTTTAGGTTGTAATTCTATACCTGCTTACCTGAAAGTAAGCCACATTGAACCCAAAGGGGCTGGCTTTTGAGTAAAAATATATAGGATTGCACTGTCAATTGCACTTCCTATTTTTCTTCAGTTTAGTTACAATCCAATTTCTTGGATTCAGATAGACCAGGGGCCACCAACCTTTTTAGACAAGTGCAAACTTTTCGAATTTTGAGTGCTGACAGCACCAATCACAAAATGGCTGCTGGGTGGTGGGGCATACCACAAAATTCGAGTGCCTAGCAGTTTTGAACCTAGCAGTTCAAAAGCATACCAGTGCAAGTAGATAAATAGGTACTGCTGCGGCAGAAAGGTAAACAGCGTTTCCATATGCTCTGGCTTCCATCGTGGTGTTCTGTTGTGCCAGAAGTGGTTTAGTCATGCTGACCACATGACTTAGAAAGTTGTCTGTGGACAAATGCCAGCTCCCTTGGCCTGAAGCAAGATGAGTGCCGCACCCCAGTTGCCTTTGACTGGACTTAACCATCCAGGAGTCATTTACCTTTACCTTACTGTCATAGTGAAGCTTTCTCCATGCTATTTCCATACATTTAATTTCTGCCTGCCATGCAGATGTTAAAGGCACAAGAACCCTGGTTTTCCCCAATGCCAAGGCTGCCATCCTGTGCCAGCTTACCTGAGAGTAAGCCCCATTAAACGCAGAGACTATCAGAATAGACCTTATACGGGTTAACTATGTGGTGAATTCTTAATAACGGCCTGATCTTTAGCTCCTGTACAGCAGAAGATAAGCCTAAGCCCCTTTGCAAAGTTTTTATATTTGCCTTTTGAGGGGATGGGGATTACGTAGCACCCACCCACATCTATTGCATAGAACCTAACTTATAGACAGTAACAGATGTCAGACAAATCTAGCTGCAACTTCACTCATTGGCCAGAAACACTGATGAGGGGAGCAGCCACTGGTGCATTTTCCCGAAATCCTTTTAAAAAGTACTTGCAAATTTTGCTCCATAACTTTCTAAGAGGACTAGATACTTTTTTTTTAAAATTAAAAGCTGTCTTCAGCCTCTGCTAGTCTTTGTGGCATTGGGCCAGTGACTCCTGAGAGAAACTGCATTTCAATGGAGAGATTGTTTTGGGATTAGGAGGTAGAACTTTAAAAAATGCTCTTCTTCTGGGTTTTGAACCTGACTATATTACATATCCCTGCAGAAGAACTGACCCAAATCCTTGTGGTCTGAACTGCAGTAAATGAAAAGTGGCATTTGGCTGAATCTTCCAGTTGCTGAACTGTTGCATATCATCTCTGAATGAGCCACAATTCAAGTCCACATTTATTTTGAATTAACCATTGAGAAGTAGTTTCTGCCTTTCTAAATGTTCTTAAGATCCATCTGTATAATCATTTTAATGTTTCAGGCAATTCTGCAGAAATCTTCAACAGTGGGGAAAGCTTATTGCAATTTTCAATAATGCAAGAGTAGAGTTCTGAGACAAATATGGATTTAAATATGGATTTAAATTTCCAGTAATTGTTTTTTTCCTGATGTGTGTGGATTTCTGTAACTGTTATGTACTGGAGGCAACATGCCTTTGTGGCCTGCTGTCCCTTTAAATCAATGTAGGGCTACTTACCTCTGGTAATGTGAGACAGACATGCAAAGCTGTCCTTGCAAGGAAACCAGCACTTTTTTTGTATATTGTGAGAGGCAGATGTATAAACTCCTAATGCATCTCACTATAGGATGTGCATATTATGTGGCACATGCAATAGCAGGTTCATGCTTGACTTATATTTTTACTATTTCTGCCACTTGGTAGTATGTAAAGACACCTCCTTAGTGATAGGTTCTAAACTCTAGGTGGCTTGATAGTTACCTGCGTCATCATGTGCATAATCCAAGTTTATTCTGCTACAGGTAACATTCTCAATTTTACCCTCTCCTTATACTGTATCATAGCATTGGGAATATGTTTGGGAAACTAAGAGGATTGCTTTAGACCAGTGATGGCCAAACCTGGCCCTCCAGCTGTTTTGGGACTACAGTTCCCATCATCTCTGACCACTGGTCCTGTTAGCTAGGGATGATGTGAGTTGTAGTCCCAAAACAGCTGGAGGGCCAAGTTTGGCCATCGCTTTAGACAAATGCTTTAAGTGCTAAGCTAATTTAGATAGAAATCTTAACCAAACCAACATAAAAAGCAGTGGGCTATTTACCATCAACAATTCAAGCGTTCCCACAAATCCCTATTCCATTGGGCGCATATTTTAAGAGGCAGCAAAGGTTGGTATACTGAGGACTTTCTGCTTAGGCTCCCTGCAGTCACTTCACATGCAGTTACGACAGGTGTGGAGAACTTTTGACCTTCCAGAAGTTGCTGAACTGCAACTTCCATCATTCCTGTCCATTGGATGTGCTTACTGGGGCTGATGGGACTTGTAGCTCAGCAACATCTGGAGGGCCAAAAGTTCTCCAGATCTTAGAAGTTGCATCTAATTATTATACATCCTGTCCTATCTCTAGTGTTGCCATTCTGTTGTATCCCTTTTGATAAAAACAATTGCTAAGGTAACTGCATTAATGAAAGACTAGCCTTGTATGATACATTTGAGTAATTTGAAAAACAAATTCAGTACACCTTAGAGGACTCATCAGTGCTTATAAAACGTTTATATCTATGCTTTGTTTTCTTAGCTGGTGTGCTAAATTTTGGAGAGCATTTAACCGGGTTGTACTGCCTACTTTGAAAAAATACTGGAATACATTATTTATCTGAAAATAAAGTGAAGGGGGAAATAAGAACAGAAACAAAGAATAAAGTCCAGTATGGATTTTTAAAAATAAATTTATATGCAGTCTGTAGGCACCACTAGAAGGAATATTTCAAGTTGTCAAATATATGAAAGAGTACCCAACATGAACACAAATTACTGCTACTTGGCAGTCTTGGATATAGGTGTGTATATTTTATGTATTTATTAATTGATAAAAAACTTTTAGAATACAAATAAGTCAATAGCTTATAACTAAAATATAGCAACTGAAAATGTTCAACCAATTGTAAGCTATGCTTTACATTGTTTTACGCAAATGTATCATTTGTCAACATGAAGTCACTTATAGAAACAGATTATCAGGGACTAGGTTTGGTCCAAGCGCCATAGAGAAACATGGTGGTGTGACTTCAAACTTCTATAACTAATAACCAATTAGCACAATGCATGCTATTTTGAGGATTTCAAAGCTGTACATTCTGGTTCTGGACCCATTTTTTTAGGCATTTAAATATTTTTAGGATGCATTTTCTTATATACAAGATTGTAGCCTATGTCTGATTTTATTCCTAAATACATAGGTACAGGATTACAGCCTTCCTTGACTGACGTAAGAAAATGTATCCTAAAAATATGTATACAATAAAAATCTGGATTTAACAGTTTTAAAAAATGTTTCAAACTTACTGAACAGCCACCTATCACCAAGTGTCACATTTACATGTACAGTGGTACCTCAGGTTACATACGCTTCAGGTTACAGACTCCGCTAACCCAAAAATAGTGCTTCAGGTTAAGAACTTTGCTTCAGGATGAGAACAGAAATCGTGCTCCAGCGGCGCAGCGGCAGCAAGAGGCCCCATTAGCTAAAGTGGTGCTTCAGGTTAAGAACAGTTTCAGGTTAAGAACGGACCTCCGGAACGAATTAAGTACTTAACCTGAGGTACCACTGTACTCTTATTACCTCTACAAACATGATGTGGAACCTGTGACCCTCCTGAAGATGATAGACTCCCACTAGCCTGTGCCACAAGGGATGATGGGAATTGTCTCCTAGCAACACTCCTGATTTGAATCTTATTCTTCCTGTGCTTAGGCAAGTCCTTCTGTCTCGACATTCCCATATGGGGAATAATACTTGCCTTACAGGTTTGTTGTAAGGGTTATAATTCGATAATGCACGTGAAGTTCTTTGAAAACTCGGTAGCAGTACTATATAAATGTATTAGTACTTGCTGGGTAATTCAGGACTAGGGATTTTTCCAGAACTACCTGAAAAGAGCTTTATAGTACTTATCTAATTCTATTATGAATTTGTGCCTCAATAGAGTTAATTACTCAGACATTCCTCCCAGTCCAGCGGGACTTTCTCTGCTATGTACGCCCTTAATGGATCAGATCTTTCCAGATCCTATTCCCAGTGTACTTGTAGCAGCTGTCTCAACACTGAACTAATGCCTGCATACATTAGTCATAGGATCATAGAACTGTAGTTGGAAGGGACCACAATGGTCATGTAATTCAACCCTTTGCAATGGAGGAATCTTTTGCCTAACGTGGAACCTGAACCCACAACCTTGAGAATAAGAGTCTCATGCTTTACCGACTGAGCTATGTGATGAACAAAAAATGAAATCAAGAGCCAGTAAGTATCTTTCTGATTTTAACTTTTTACATTGGTGGTACAAGGCACATGAGCGTAGAAAAACAACAGTTGGCGTTAAGGCATCTTGCAGCATTCTACAGATCAGATAAAAAATAATCTGTAAAACAAAGTTCTAAATTTAAAAACTTAAAAATCAAAGTTTTCAAACATTTCAGGGACACTAAATTAGCTCTTCATAGAAAAACAGTGATAATTGTTTGACCACATGGGGTGTCAGTGGACTTGCACATGAAAACAGTTCTTCCACTTCACTCCCCTCAAACGTGCTGTTGAGGGTTGGAGCACATTGATGGGCTACGGGGGGAGGAGGTGAAGTCTCACTGTATCTGCTGTTGCAAGTCGGATCTTGCTATTGTAATCTAAGTAACAAGTATTCACAAAATAATTGCCTTCTATTTCTAGAAATGAAATTTTATGCAGCACAAAAACAGAACGACACCGTACCCTTTTCCAAATACAACTTTTCAGTTGGTTGGTTCCCCCACCCAAAAAACCTAGCCAGGATGGGTCATGCTCTACATCTTCAGTTGTTTATTCCCTGTAAAAGTGCAAACTCCTACTGAACTGACTGGACTTGGTACCAAGTTGCTGGGACAAATACTGCAGATGTCGACAAGAATGATCATAAGAGAACAACTAAGAAAAATATAACCCAGGCTCTGTAACCTCACAGTTTAAGGTCTGAGGTGAAGAAGCCCTGTTTATCCTTCCATTGGTAAATTATATATTCTGCTCTGGTTTCCTAACACAGAATATGCAGCATTACTTCTATTGCAGTTGTAATGTTTAGTCCTGTAAAAAATATAGTCCAAACTTTGGCTAATTTATTGCCTATAAATATGCTGCAATGTAACATGTGTTTTGAAGCAAAAATGAGTTGCTTTATTGAAAGATAATTAAAAAATTTTGAAGTTTGTATTGCTGGAGAATAAATAAGGTTTTTAAAGCCATGCCTCCTTCAAGGTTAGTGTTTGAGAGGTAGAGTAGCTTTAGTAAAGTCTGAGTGCTTCATTTAAAGAAGCTGAAAACACAGCATGAGATTTCTAAATGCAGAACATAGTTCAAAATTAATGTGTAACAAACTAAAAATAAGTCATTAAAAATTACCCTTACATTATACCAGTTATTGCACTGGAACTATAATAACTTAAAGTTAATTATTGTATACATGGTGTTTAAGAGTGTCAGTCATTCTTATATTGTCTATTAATACTCTAATACCACATTGACATTTCTGTACTAAAAAGCTGTGTTACCACAATACAATATATTCTTAAACCTATTACTCAGCCCCCTGGATTTTTTTTTTTAAAACAAAACACTTGTTTCTCAAAAAAGCAGAAGTAGTTGTAAAAAGTCCTTTTGTAGTGAGGTAATTTTTTCCCCTGCTTAAGAGTTTTCAATTAGATTCTTCATTTTTCCTGTAGGCTTCAGCATGTGTGGCCCAAACTATAAAAAGAGAATGAGAGTAAGCACAAGGATTTGCACATACTGGGAGTAAGTTCATACACCAAGGCTACAGGCTACCGCTAGCATGTACTCAGAAGTCATTCTTACACATTTCTTCTATTTGTGGTTTTTCCTGATCAGTTTTAAAATTGAGAAATTTAAGAAGCAAACCCAGAAGTGAAATAATGGAGCTTAAAAACCAAATAGGGTTTATAAATATTTACATTTGTTTTAAAAGTGCTGATTTAATTTATATGAATGTTTAACATTTGATTTTTAGTTTATGCTTTACATAAACTGTTTAGAGGTTTTTGTTGATTCAGTGGTATATAAATCTTGTCAAATAAATAAAAGAGTGGAATTCAGTTAGTGGTCTTGCACTTGTATAAGGGCATTTGATGCAGCAGACGCATTAATGACAGAAGAGCATGATGTGGGTATGTTTTTGACAAATCCTCTTTCTTCCTACACCTTCCCTGCTACTCCACAAGGCCCCTCTACTCTCTGGGGCCAATCTCCTGCAGGTGCTAGGGGAAGAGCGATTTGGCAAAAAGGGCCTCATCTTCTGTTAGCAGAGGCACCTGCAGGATCAAAAGCACTTCTGTTAGGACCAGGGCACCAAATGGAGTCAACCCTGTGTTCAGCATTCTTGAAGTACAAGTAAACCTTTGCTTGGCAAGAAGCTCTCTAGTTAGAATTAGGCTTCACCATCATGTCTGTCTTGCCTTCCAAACCCCCTTAAATTCTATGTACCTCTAGTACAGTGACCAGTTATTTCATTACATACTTGTTCTTGCCCACCAACTGAAATAATGATCAATAGTTGCAACATACCCTCTGATGCCATTCTGCTTAAAGACCAACTAGCAATGGGACAAACTGTGTAAGTTAGCCCAGTTATTGGTGATAGCTGACTGTTACAATAGAACATATTAGGGGGCCTTCGTAGCTGGGAAATCCCCTCTCCCCAGTGCAAGTGTTGTTCTGAGACTAGAAAAGAAGCTTCCTGCTCACCTTGCCCTCAGTAATCTAGCACTATATTGCAGCGGCTCTATAGAAGGCTTGTATTTAACTATTTTTCTGGTTGCCACTGGGGATCAAGAGTCTGCCCGTGGGTATGTGAATTTTGCTAAGGATGAGCAGGTTTTAAGACACAGTGAGACCCCTTCTCTGCAGCTACTGTGGCAGCAAGGCAAACTGGCAATGGAGGAGAGTGCTTTGTTTCCCCTTTGCCAGCCTGCTGCACTGCTAGCCTGATCCTGTGAACTACCCTGAGACCTATGGGTATAGGGCAATATACAAATTTAATAAATAGTAAAAATTATAGAAATTTGTAGCAAAGTGGTAAAAGAGGGGCTCCTTTTAGGAGAAAAAAAAAGCAGGATTGGGCTTTTTGGGCAGGTTAGTAACTTTTATGGGCTTAACAATAAGGTTGCCCTATAGTATTTAACAACTTTTCTAGTCTATATGTAGCAAGGAATTACATGCAAGTGAACAAGTAGGCTAATGGAGGGACAGACAAATGACATCATGCTAACTTCACCAGTCTGTTTGGTACAAAATAAGACAGACTAGCAGCCTGCATCTTCATGCTCCCCACTGCATTTTCTGTAGATAGACCCATTTTATAATCCTACACTCCACATGTGAGAAGGGTTTCACAGCTACACAGGCCAGCCCCTCTAGCAGCTGGCTGGAGCATGTCAGAAAGACTCCAAGTCAGAAAAGCTCTCCTCAGAAATTGTGTGCAGAGGGGGCAGAGAGACTTCTACATATTCCAGTGGCAAGCCGGGTCAACTTCCAGTGCATGATCCTTAAGATATATGCAGTTGGCTACAACTACAGTTTTAAAGGTCAAGGGAGAACTGGGAGGGAGGATTAAAATCCTAGTCACTAGAGTCCAGTGAATCATAAATTGGATGCAGTGCTTACCAGCCTTGTGTCAGATTCAGGAGCCTGTTTCTCAGTTTCACTTGGGCTGTCACTTCGATATCGATAAGCAAATTTCTTTTTAAGAGCTTCAGCTATTAGTGCGGCTGGATCTGTTGGGTCGGCTGCTTTTCGTTTGGTGCTCTCCTCTGGTCTTGAAAAGAATAGAGCAAAACTATTGAGTTGTAGACACTTCAAATGCCTGCAAAGAGACTGGCTTCCTCTCTCTCTCCCCACACCCCAACCTGGAAGGGTTGGTACTACCAGCTACAAGTGCTACAACACATCTTCCAGCCTCTTATCTGATACAGCACATCTCCTGGCCCTGAGCTGCTAACTTTACCTAAAGAGGGATGTGATGTTCCTCCTAATCCGAAAGAGTGCATGATGGTGCAAGAGGGGGTTGCAGTGGGGTATGTGTTACCTTGATTAAGCAAATGAATGGCTACTTGTGTAACCTAAGGAACCATCCATTGTTAAGTTTCCTCACTGAAAGCCCCATCCCCCCAACCTTCCTGAACAGAGAGCTGTAGTAGATTCACCTTTTCACAGATCGCAGCTTTACATTGTTCATATCTTTGAGAATATCTAGCATGTTTGGTATTTCAGGCTTCTTCGAATCATCATCTATAAAAGTCCGTCCGGAGTTTACTCTTTTTCCTTTGCGCTCCTTAATAAGATCAATGGCAGAAGTGCTCTGCTGGAGAGGTGGTGGAGGTGGAAGGGGTGGGGGTGGCGGGGGCGGTGCTGGCACTCCTGCTAGGACAGGAATTGATGCTGCAGAACTTACTCCAGCTGTAACAAAATAGTCCATTTAATTATGCAACAATATTCTTCAGTAAATAATGATTATCATTTCAAAAACAAAGCCCATCAAAGCAATGTAGTATTTTTCAATTGGGGACAGACATCTATCTAGGAAGGAAATGCAAGAAGAGGAGAGGGTGCCAAAAGGGCTTGGAACCTCATTCTCTGGTTAGGCTTACTAGTGTTGAACAAGTTTTAAAATTTCTACCCAATGGGTGTGGATTCTGTTTAAGCCACTAGAGAATGCTAGAAGTCTTTAAGTATGACAAATGTATAAATAATAAGCCATCACCAGCCATCTTATAAAACGATGACCAAATCAAACATATTTGAACAGTGCAGCAGTGCTTTAGAGCTTACAACTGCAGATACTGGGTTGATTTTGGCAGTAGTCTCAGAAAATTTAACGTGCAACACTAAAGACCTTGTCAGCTAGGAAACAAGGTTGTTCTTCTTGTCCTTTCAATACCCTCTGCTGTCATGTTCAGATTGCTATGAAAAAGTAGATTATTAAGAAGGCATAAATGAGACAAAGGAAAGGGAATGCAAGGCAATCAAGTAGTTAATGTCTTTATACTTCTTCCAAGAAGTACTGGCAGTCTTCCAATTCATGTTTAGCAGTCACTAATCAGAGATGAATAAGTTGGAAATATGGTTTAAAGAATAATTCAACATCCAAAATGTGTTAACTGAAACTTTCATAAAGTTGTTTTTAGACATCAGAATAGTAATCAGACAAGCTTTTTCAACTACTGCCATTCAGCACCTTTAAAATCAACAATGTCAGATAACACAGCAATGACTCAATATCACCTTGAGCCTACGTTTCTGCAATTGTTTACGAAGGTATGAATAGTCCAGTGGATGGAACAGCAAAGTTCCACTTCTAGTTCTCTCCAGTCAAGGTGAGTTAAGAGGTGAGATACCACAACTATGGAAGTCACCACTTCTAATGCAAAGAATAATCAGACCCATTGGAATGAAAGTCAATTTGAAAGAAAAGTTATAAAATCAGCTTTGTTATATGTATATTTTTTAAATACCTGCTGTCATATTCTGCTGTTCTTGTAAGCTTACGATTTTGGCTATTTGCGCTCTTAAACTGGCAAGTTCATTTTCTAGCACACTGATTTTCTGCAGAGCTTCATCATTTGTGGCCACAGCAATCTTGGAGTCTTCTTTTTCTTGCAATGGCTTTGGCAAAGGTACTTGAATATTTGGATCTCTTCCTGAGCAGCCTTCACCTCTAGAATATGTTTGGGATTTTGACCAAACGTCTGATCTGTAATTGACAAAACAATATACAGTAGTACTTACTTTTTTAAAAAACCCATTATCAAACAGCTAAAGGGAGCAATGGTGAGGAGAAGAGGGGGAGAGTAAGGGGAAGTCCTGTTGTGTGATTGAAACTCCATGTGCACAGCATCTTATGCAGCCTAAACCTTCTATAGGCATGAGGTGTTTTTTTTACTACTCCTTTGTACAGGGAATGACTGCATAGGCTATTAAGACTGCCACAACTAGCTAGTTCTCACTTCAAACTAAATTCCCCAAATCTGATTTTTTTTCATTAAGACACAGCCACCCCTTTCTCATCTTTCTGTAAATTTAATGTATAATGGCAGCCAAAGTATTTTCATGTGTCACTATCAACACAGGAATATACATTAACCTATAGTCACACTTAATGTGAAACACTTCATAAGAGCGTATCAATTTCTGCAGGAATGGAAGATACTGTGGCTTTCTCTGCAGTCTTCTCTTGCTTTATGGACTGTAGGATCATCATTCAGTAATGCAAAATGGAACCAATCTCCTCCCAACCCCACTTCACCAATATGTCAACTTTCTGCTTCTCATATTGTCAAAATGAAACTGGTGCATCCCAGAGGCAGTTCTTTGGGTTTACATCACATTACAGAGTCCTAGCCTACACCCAATAATCTAAACATTGGAAGCACCTGCCTTTACATTGTTCATTCCCTATCTTCCAAGTGCCAGGGGTGCTGAAACTTGTGACTGTCTAGGTGACTCTGCTGTTTACTCTACCCATGAAAACAACACTTGACAGCATTCAAATGAACAGGATATCTAGTTCAGTTCAACACACTGCTTCTTCCCTTGACACAGGTTGACTTAAAGCAGTGTTTCCCAACCTTGGGCCTCCAGCTGTTTTTGAACTACAATTACCATCATCCCTGACCACTGGTCTTGCTAGCTAGGGATGATGGGAGTTGTAGTCCAAAAACAGCTGGAGGCCCAAGGTTGGGAAACACTGACTTAAAGAATCAACCAGAGGGGTAGCTTCAAAAAACATACCTGAGCCGTGTAAAGACTTCACTTTCTTCTTCAGCAACCCACCCCACATCTGCAAGGGAGACCACTCCATCATCTCTCAGTGGGTTAGAATGACTGCCTTCTGCAGACTGAGATGGAAGCTAGATTTGAGTGGACAAGATTACATATTAGAATTCAAATAGCACTAAGTTGACAATGATTTCACACATAGTCTTGCTTCCTTGAGGGTAGTGGGAGGATGAAACATCCTCCTATTATGTCGGAGAGAAATAGATGGAAAAGGAGAAAGACTTCACACCAGGGTTAAATCCCACAAAGAACTAAACACAGAAATTTTAGGATTAGCACAATTAATCTATGAAATACAAAACTAACACAGTACAACAAATTGCAAATAAACCTATGTTTTCCAATGTGTACAACGCCAGGCAAGTTTCTTTTTAACCTGCACCATAAGTCACTAGTTGCAATTTGGAAAGTTACCCAAGCTAATAGTTACTGACTACAGTCCATGGACAATTCACTAATCTCACCAAGCATCTAGCAGTGCCATTCTTTCAAAGTGCCAAAAAGGAATGTTTTCATGCAAAAGAAGGTTCAGATTAAAGATGAAAGTAAACAGGGGAATAATCTTTTACATGGCAGAGCTAGTAAGAACCCTGGTCTGCATTCAATGTGCTCTTCCAGTTAGTAATACTTTGGTGAGAAATAGGAGTAAAGATAGAAAGTGCAAAAAGTACACTGGGAATATGCACTATGTGGCCAGAGGATGTGGGTGCAGTTCTAATGTCAAATAGTATCTGTTTCCAGATTTGCCAACAAAGCTAAGAAAGCACCATGATCAATACATAAAGGGTTGATACTGCTGTCTAGCAACTGTGGATTTTTTCCCCTAGGCCAACTCCAAATATATGAAATATTTTTCTAGCCTTAAAGACTTGGAGCCAAATTTACAGGCCTAAGCAGAGGTTTGCTATTACATATTCTGTGTGGATCTAGTTGTTGAGACAGACAGACAGACAGAAAGAAAGACAGAGATTGTCAAGTGCACCTATCCCTTGGCTATCACTGGGTTATTCTGACATGACTTCCAAGGTAACTAAAATAGCAAGATGCAGTATAGCTTTAAACTCTTTTGAAGCTCAATTAAGACATGACACTCAACTGTGACTCACACTAACAATAGTTTAATGTAAACCACGTTTGAGCTCCCATATGTACAGGCACATAGTGGTTTAGAGCAATGCTACTCAAAGTGGCTGAGGCAACCCAGCCAGATGGATGGGGTATAAATAATAAATTTATTACTGTATTATTATTATTGTAAAGGGGTGGTCCATGGACCAGTGCTGTTCTGTGAGTCATCAGTTGCTGGCCCCTGGAAACTCCACACAGCCCAGGTTGGGTGGGGCATTTCAGGGACCAAATATGTTACTAGTTCTTAGCACATTAGGGGAGGGAATAGCTGATCCATCACATCAGATAACTTGAGAAGTGCTAGTTTAGAGCTTTTCATCTTCTTAGTGCTTCAGTCTCTAGGTTATGGGCAGCCGACATGGAAACCTCCAGATGTTAGATTACAACTCCAGTTATCTCTTTCCACTGGCCATGTTGGCTAGGGCTGATGGGAGTACAAGAGTCCCATATCCCTGTCTGTGGCAAGCATCCAAATCACCCACCACACATTTCTTTGTCCAACTATACTACAACTTTAAAGTCACAACGTCTTATTAAAGCCGTAATCGTATGCCCACTTGAGCAGAATAAGTCCCATTGAATATAGCGGGTCTTGCTTCTGAGTAAGTGTGCACAGGACTGCCTCAATAGTTTCTCTCCCACAGTTGCAGAACAAAAACTTGCAGCAGTTAAAGCCCCCTATGTAAGATCAAGCAGAAAATTAAGGCTCTAAAAGTTAATTTGATTTATAGTTCTTAATAGCAGTTCATTATGATTACAAGCATGCACTAATAGCTTAATCAAGTTTAATGAGAAAGGACAAAACTGACTTACTGCAGGTTCAGTGCATGATCCTGTGATATAATAGCTAAAGCAAGAAAGAAAGAAAAAAAGAGGGAAAGAGAGAACACTATAGAAAAGTTTCAGTGTAGCAACAATCTAGAAAAAAGCAAGAGTTCAACCTTGGCACTGATTCTGCTGCTGTGACACATATCAAATCCTCACAACTGAGTAATATAAGGCTGTTCAATTTAGGGAATGGATATAATAACCTTTTCAGCTTGGAAACTACATTAATTGTACCCAAAGAATATGTTTGCATACTCTCTCCTTTAGCCGCTTCCCACTTTTGTTGGAAATATCTGTAGGGTTCACACATTCTTGGCTCAGTTCCAGAGAAAGCCATCATTTGTGCTCACCATCGATCCTCCCTGGCACACATGCCAAAGGATTTACAGAGGGGAGGGGTGTTTGTCTCTGTGGTGCTGGGCTTCTGGAGCAGGCTGAAGCCAATCCCTTGTGCTGCTTTTGCATGGTCAGCAGCACAGAAAGAACCAACGTCTCCCCACTTCTGCAAGTGAGAGGAAAGGTCTCATGTCCTACTTGTCAGGAAAAAGCAGCAATGCAAAAGCAAGCTGCAGGTGTCTGGAATGCAAAACACAATGTTGATGTCTGGGACTGTACTATTGGAAAAAGGGGGCAGTCTATTCAGTGTACTGAGCACCGGATGTTAGCTCAGAGTGTCATCTGACCTGTACTGGAAGTACAGGGGTGGAGTCTGTGTGGTCTTCTGCTGGAGACTGGAGGGTACAGACATGTTTCTCTGTACTGCTGGAATGACAGAAATAAAAGAGATGTAAATAGATTTCTGTCTGTCTCTTTCCCCCTCCCTGAGGGAAGCAGGGAGCAGGGAGGAGGGTGTGTCCCTCTCACGTTGAGTGGGATCGCCGATTTGTGACCTTGCCTGTATCCTGCCGGGGGAAGCAGACGGGAAGGTCATCAAGGATCTCGAGCCGAACGCCTGGTGTGAGGCCAGTTACCTCTGACTGCGGCCGAGAATCCTGACACTACTGAGCCTTCAAGCAATAGAAGCAGGCTCAAAAGCTCAGTGTCAAATAACAGACTTCTGTGAGAGAAGATCCTTTCTGTTATCAGGAATCCTGGATTACCAGAGGGCCAAAGCTCTTATTCCTGGTGAATAATTTTATGGATGCAGGCCAGTGAGAAAATTTTGCAGATAGAGATGAAATATTATTCCTTGCTTCCTATTCCTTTCTTTCCCAAATAAACCTTGATGATGCAGTCCATTTTCATGTTAAGAGGTAACATCTAAACCTCAAAGCCCATTTTAACTGGAAACAGGTAAGTGTGTAACAAAGAAGTTTGAATGCAGGTGGACCAACAAAGGAAGGAAACATCTGTTCTTTTTACCTTTTATAAAAAGGCTAGAAACTATGCTCATTTTAATGTATCATACAAGTGTATTTTGAAACAGCTAACTTCAATGTAATCATAAATTTAAAATCATTACTATACTTGAATATATTTTCTCTTCAAGAACAATTTAGAACCCACAAGATTTCAGTAAAATTAAATGCTACTGTCATACGACTACAGTAAAAACACAGAATTCACAACTAATGTAAAATTCCCTGAAATATTTCTTTCCTCCCACTTTCAAATTTGAAGAATGAATGCATCACAAGGACACAGTTTTATTTAAAATCTGTGGAACTATTGTCAGAAACGTCGGAGAAGAACAAGCATATGCAAAACCAGAATCCTGGGTGGCAGTGGCACCCTCAGCCTACAAACACTTATCTGGCATATAATCACAATATGACTTGTATTATTACAGAAATAGATTCCAAAAAGGTTACACTTGTTTATATTGAAGGAACACATATTATTGTAAAAGTCAAAATAATGCTCTTTATATTTGAAACATGTAGTTCTATTACATTTGTTTGCCCTTCAAAGATTCTATGTATCTATTTCTATCCACCTTTATATGAAGTGCCAACACTTCTTCCCCAGCCCTGTTTCACCATTTTGTTCCATCTGATTTTCACTTAATTATAAATAAAAGTGTCTACTATTCTATGTATCATTAGGACTCTTCATCCAACTCCATCCCATTTAACTGTGTTTCCACAACTCAAAAATGCACTTATACAACTCCAGGCTAACACTGAGAAGAAATAATTATGAAAGTGTATACCTGTATATATTAACCCTCCAGCTGGGAAGCAATGTTAGTACTGTATCTTACAGCAAAAATGGAGAATTTTGTGGCACCCTAAAAAGTAACACATTATAATATATACTTTTGTAAGCTAATCTGATTTAGTGGACTGTAGTCCATGAAAACTTATGCCATACGAAATTTGTTAGTCTTTTAGGTGCCACAAAGCTGTTATTTATTTATTCTATTTAATTGTAATTATGCTGTGCCTTTCCCCCAGAACTAGGACTCACAGCTGCTCACAAAAATTAAAACAAATAGCAATAAAACACAAATAGCTAAAAACATATAAATGGTTATTGTTAAATAGTAATTAAATTGTATTTTGAATTAAAACAATGTAAAAAACTACTAAAATGCAGATAGTAAAAAACCGTACAGCACACTATTAAGAGGCCTTTCCTTAGGAACAGCCAGTTTCCAGAAGCCTGGGGAAAAAAGACTTCACTTGCTGGCAAAAGGACAAGGAGGAAGCTAGTCCAGCTTCTTTAGGGAGTTCCGAAGTCTCAGAGCAGCCACCAAGAAGGCCCTCTACTGCATCCCCATGAGGCATGCCTGTGAAGGTGGCAAGACTAAAAGTAAAACCTCCCCCAAAGACCTGAGCTTGGACACGTTCATATAGGAGAATATGGTCCTTCAGATGGCCTGGACCAAAGCTGTACAGGGCTTTAGATAACATAACCAGCACTTTGAACTGTGCCTGAAAACAGACTGGTAGCCAGTGAAGCTCTTGCAACAAGGGAGTTGTGTCCCTATCAACTCTCTAGTAGTTATAATAATATAATTATTTATTTTTTTGTACCCCACTCATCTGACTGGGATGCCCCAGCCACTTTGAGTGGCTTCCAACAGAATATATGAAAACACAACAGAACACAACACGTTAAAAGCTTCTAGATACTTTTTATCCTTTGTCTGACCTTTCTTAACACAGCTGAATCACAAGCAGCTTTTACATGGCAAAGTGTGGGTTGAGTAAATGCAATTGGAGCTCTCACTTCTAAGCACTTTGTGCAAGAGCTGACCATATACAGATTTTTTTCAACTTACAGTGACACCTTAACAAGCCACTGCTAAACCCCATTTCCAAAGCTTCATAACAATAACATAGAATGGGAATACGGGTATGCAGTGAAGGAAACATCCGAGAAGATAATTACCATTTACTCTGTCAACATGCCAAGATTTAAAAAGAGTCATAGATGTGACTCCTGGGGCTGTAGACAAAAGGAGCTCTGTTTCAATAAAAAAATTCCCAAGTTCAGAGCCAATTTCTAGCTGCATTAGAGACAATCACTCACTCAACATTTGCAGTAATAGGCTCTGCTGCTCCACAAAGTTACTCTACAGCAAGTTAATACAACATGCATAACCTCTCTACAATAGGAAGAAGACTGGGACAAATCCCTCTTCTAAGATGACAGAGACACAGCAAAGTTTTAAAACTGCTTAACTTTATTTTCATGAAAGCAAACTTTTCAAAAAGCATAGATCTACACTAGGAAGTGCACCAGAATATTCATTGGAAGAGTTCCCTGGGCTTGTAGGCAGATGTTTAATGACAGCTATCTCTACTATTCCCCAGAGTCAATATTATTAAGCTTCCAACTCACAATATCTTGCTGAATAAGTGTTTCCATAAGATGTATTTTAAGACGTTTCCCCATGACATTCAACAATTTTAAAAACAACTAACAGAGGTACAGTTTTAAAGGAAGTTATACAATGTGCAAAACCTGTCTATTGGGTTAGCAGGCTGCTCAGAAGATAGAGAATGTAAACTATTAAAACATAATAACAAAGGTAAATTTTAATAATTATACAGAACCTTCAACAAAATGTTGTAGTGTGTCTCCAGCTCCTAAGAGGAGGATCCTTGGAGGTCTCTTCAGACCTTATAAGTGGCGTATAGCACAAAGAGGTGAGTATTGTAAGCTCACAAACACATTTGCTATAAGTTTTAGGTGCTTCAACAGGTCCATTCTCTCTCTCTGACTCCGAACACCTCACCTGACACATTAGTACATCCTGAAAGCTGGTCCTTTCAAGCTTTTTTCAAGAATATTTTTTCTCTTTATTTGACAAGATTTATATTGTCCCCCTACCTGGTGAAGCCTCCCCCCTATGTAAAACATCAAGGCCTGCTTCAGATACACTGTCCGTTCTCCCTGCCCACCCCTGAGCCAATTGACACCATGTGTCCTGTGAGGAAGAGATCAAGGGAGGCATGTATAGACAAACTACATGGCCTGCTCTACTCGCCATGTTATATTGTTTTTTTTCATACTTACAAATTGTAAACTGCCTTGGCAGAAAGGCAGTATATATGAATGCAATGAATGAATGAATGAATGATCTCTGCTTAATTTTTGATAGTTACTGTTTTGTTTAAAACTGTTAGACAGTTGTAGTAGTTTCCTATTAGAGAAAAGTATGCTGGTTATGTGATATTTGACACAGCTTTCAAATTCACAGCTGAAAAAATGTACCAACAGCCTAGACCCAGATCCCATTAGTTTGCTCTGACCATTAAGATTAATTTAATTTCCCTCTGGAAAGTGAAACAAATATTTAAAATCTTACCTGAAACTGAACTCTTGGACATTGTATCAGCGAGAGGTTGGTGCCAATTTTCCTTACAATACTTCTATCGCGACCATAAGGCTTACTAGACCAAAGCAACTGAAAGGATAAAAGAAAAACAATTTTATTACTGCCTAACATGATCTGCCTATCATGGAAATAATTTGTTTCTTTAAGTTTCACTGCATATCCAGATCACCTGGGAGTAAGCCCCAGTTAATGCACTTTTGAATAAATATGCAGATATGCAGTGCAATGCCTCTGTATAAAGAAAAGTACATTGTGCAGCAGCATCCATCAACACACAAATACTTGTGCAATGGAACTTTTTCATTCTCTCCCCCCCCACCAAAAAAAGGAACAGGGCAGGTTTGGGGGTGTGCAGGGGGGAAGGAAATCTGTTCGGCTGTCAGAACAGCTACCATGAGATTTCATGCATTATGTTTTAACAAGGATAATCTACACTGGAATTCTCATGTGGACAGAAGACTAGAGCAAGGATAAGGAAATGAATCTGGCCAGTGAGCCAGACCTTGAGTTCCTCCACCACCACCACCAGGCCATTTTGACAGTTTTGAAATGGATGCAGACAAACAAGCCCACTCACTTGTCAATTCCTTGACTTAAGGTGAGTCATTTCTCTTTTGCAGCATGACAAGCCATGCTAAAAATAGAAATACAAGACCAATTAAGCAGGGCTTGAAATTACTGATGATCAGTAGTGACTTCAAGCTCCACTTTCTTTTAAATTATATTTTAATTGATGCTTTATTGTTTTAATCTATTTTCCCAATTTTAAGTAATCCTCCTTCGAACCTTAGGGTGAAGGATGGGATCAAAGCCTGAATAAATAAATAAAATTAAGTGTTTATAATACAGTGGTACCTCGAGTTACAAACACCTCAGGTTACAAACGCTTCAGGTTACAAACCCCACTAACCTGGAAGAGTTACCTCAAGTTGAGAACTTTGCCCCAGAATGAGAATGGAAATTGTGTGCCGGCGGTGCAGCAGCAGCAAGAGGCCCCATTAGCGAAAGCACGCCTCTAGTTAAGAACAGTTTCAGGTTAAGAACGGACCACCGGAACAAATTAAGTTCGTAACTAGAGGTACCACTGTACAGAGATTTGACTACCCCTTCTAATGGAACATTCATTTAACTCCTGGGCAAAAAAGCATATTGTGATGTGTTGACAAAAAGTGTATGATGGCAAGGCCAAATGCACTTTGGAGGACAGGGATTTCTATAACCTGGGGGCCACAGGCACAAAAAGATGCTCTCAAACACTACTGCCACATGACCCTCAAAAGGGTGGCACTGTCAATAGGGTATTTCACACTGATCCTAACAGCCAGGCAGGTCTGTACTTCGCTGTAGCACTTACCGATTCCATAGTTAATGCTGCTTGCTCAAATATCACTCTAAGTAGGTGCTTAATCCAGTAAATCATCTGGAACAATGCAGGGTTTCCACAATCTTGTTAGCTAACCACCTCAGTTTGATGGAATGCAAATGTTCCATAGTCACTATGGGGAGAAAAAACACAAGTGTGAAACCATGAGTATCTGTATGCAACTCTTTCAAACTATGAGAAATGATCTAGAAGAAAACATATCAAAAAAGCTAAGTCCACAATTTTCACCGCAAGTACGCAATCAGTATTTATTGATTGTAATTTGCCAACTCACTTTTAGGCTCTGTCAAAACTGTCAAGTAGGATTTCCATAAATTGAAAATAAAGTTCTAGGGTGCAAGCAGGTTTGGTCATCAGTATATTGATGTCACTTGGCTCTACCTTTCCTTTCCATGTTCAGTTCCCAAGGAGGCTGTTGAAATCCTAAACCAGTACAGTGGAACCTCAGGTTGCGGACATAATCCATGACAGAGGCACGTCCGCAATCCGCAGCATTCACATCCTGAAGCGCCGGGTCTGCACAGGCGCACTTTGGTGCTTCTGTGCATGTGCGAAGCATGATTTAGCACTTCTGTGCATGCATGAGTGGTGAAACCTGGAAGTAACCCATTCCAGCACTTCCGGGTTTCCCGCAGTCCGCAATCCGAAAACAAGTAAACTGAAGCAACCATAACATGAGGTATGACCGTACCTAGTGGCAGTTCTGGGATGGATGCAGCAAACAAGCTAAAACTGAATCAGAGCAAGATGATGCTGTGGGTGGGGAGTTCCCCAGTTCCAGAAGAAAGTTTACAACTGGTTTTGGATGGACTGGTACACTCCCTGAGAGAAGAAGTGTGCAGTTTGGGAGGGCTCATGAATTTGGCACTGACTGGGGAAATCCAGTAAGTATCAGTGACCCGGAGTGTTTTTGGTTTTTGTTTTATCAGCACGGGCTCGTATGCCAACTGCCCCACTAACATTAATGGGATGACTCTGCCACAGTCATCCACATTTTGGTCATATTCCAACCAGACTACTGCAATGTGTTCTATGTGGGGCTGCCTTTGGAAACTTCAGGTGGTTGAGAATGTAGCTGCCAGAGTTCCACTCTGAATGTGTGTATCTGTGTATCTATGGAACATAACTGACAAGAAAGTACTAGTGATAATTAAAATACAAGATTCTTAAAAGCTTATGTTTTCAAGAAGGTTATATTTCATTCAAACACCTCTCACAAGGAACGTTGGTTATGTCTTGTGCACATCTAAGCCTTACCCCCACAATGTTTCAATTTTTAAAAATCTTACACTGCTTCCAGTCCTGTGACAAATACCCAAAAATTGTCCTTTAATTTTTTTTATAAGAGAAACAAATAATTAATGATAAAACTTGATTTAAGATAGCATGAAATAGTTGGTGAGAAAGTTGTTCAGAAAATAGCCTTGAGAGCTGCAGTTCTCACTATGTCTCCATTTACACTTCGGTCTTGCATACCCACATATACATGGCAAATTGACTAAGGGTCAATATGCCCTTGGCCTGAAAATGGTGTATTTCAGGATTTTTTAATCAAATGCATAAATCATCAAAAAACCTACAAATACCTACTGCTCTCAGTTTAGTCCCTCTAAGAAAGAAGACGAATTTGATAATGTGAACATAATTATGATCATTTTGGAAACTTGTTAAACTTCTTAGTCAGCTACATAATGGAAAAACTGAATGGAATTTTTTAAAAAATGACAAGTCAGCAGACTACAAGACACTTCTAGCAAGAACTGTTGTAGTTAATTCATTGCCAGTGCTTTCATTACAAGCTTGTTTTAGTCAACAGTTTACCACTCCTAGGTAATAATATCTTCATGTGGAAACTTGGCACAGGCAACCTCAGTTGTACTGCCTTGAGGTTTACCGTTTATGGGATGTTTGAGATGCTGGTGCAGCTGTTCAGTTGACAGTTTCTCACATGCAGTACATGGTATGCACTTCAGGGCTGCCATTTATTTTGTATCCCTTTGAACCTGGAATCATTTTCTTAGACTTAGATGGATCATTCCAGAAGACTAAAGCATACTTTCTTAAGAAAGCACAAATATCTGCTAGCAGCAAGTTCTTCTCTGACCCATCTGGGAAATAATGTATCACCCCATTCTCAAAACTAAACATGACAATACGTACTGTAATTCCATGTTTCTATTCTGGAAGCCGTGGAAGGGGAAACTATTAGGAGCCCTCTTTGCAAACTTTGACTTCCCCTTGGCTTCTCAACAAAGCAATCTGAAATTATTATGGGTACCTGCATGGCTTTCTACAGCCACTTATTTGTGATTATCCCCCTACCCCTATCCCACCCCCCAAAAAAATCCCCACCAATGCCACCTACCCACATTTACATTTAAAGACTAGCAAATGTAATATGACATAAACTTTCAGGGATTAGACTCATCAGATGCAAGTGGACTTATTCATCAGATGCAAGTGGACTAATTCATCAGATGCAAGTGGACTTATATTCATGAACTCATATGCCATAATACGACATTTTCTGCTTTTGCTGCTACAGACTAACATGGCTAACTTTTTGTACCTATCTGTACAGGAAAAGATGAAACAGTCTTCCAGGTGAGCCTTTCTGACTGGAATTGGCTCTCTAGAGTCTTAGACAGATTTTCTTCCACTACATTATTCTTCCAACTGAAGATGCCAAAGATCAAAATGGGGACTTCATACATGCAAAGTATGTGCTTTTCTACCACTGAGCAACAAATCCCCTCCTTGGCCTCTACTCATCTGCCATATCCTAACTGTGCTTCCTCAGCTCTTTAAATCTAAGAAAAGCAGCTTACAGAGCCAGGCTGCATTGTCAAGAAAAGCAATATTTTAAAGTAATTTTTTTATCCTGACCTTTAAAATGTTCTGTCCAGGAGGAGGAAACATATAGGACGGTAGTCAATGACAGACCTACTTGGAGTAATTAATTTCAATTGGTCTACTCTGAGTAGAAATTCATGAAATACAACTCATAGTCACCTTGAGTTGGCACAGGAACAAATATTGGTATCAGAGTTGGAAGGGACCACAAGGATAATCTAGTCTAGCCCCCTGCAATGCAGGAATCTTTGACCAATGTGGGGCTCAAACCCATGACCCTGAGATTAAGAGTCTCATGCTCTTCCGACTGAGCTATATGCTTACCACATTTGGTTTATTTGAAACAAATAGAGCATGGTCCAAAATCAAGCTACACAGCAAGTCATGTTATTGCTTATTTGAGCTGTGTGGGTGCTGCACAGGGGGAATGACATAGGGACCCACGCGACAGACATTCACAATTAAAACACTGTTTAAGATGCATTGTGACTTATTGTGACATGCAAACTAGGCCAGTGTAATTAAACTCCCAAACTAATGGAAAAATCAGTTTATATACCTCAAAATGCAAATGGCTGATTTGGCAACAGGGGACACAAACAGTTAACCTTCATTGCATACAGCAGCCAGCTAGTGCAGTTTGGATTTAAATATCTCCACTCCTGTCTTTCTTCATTCGTTCCCCCACTTCTTCTTTTTATAAGTAAGTTTTAAGCCTGCAGCACCTAGATCCCTGATGTGCTTTAGAATATTATTTAGTGTTTTCTAAGTATACCCAGAAGTATACATAAGATACCAAGAACATAATATAGGCATTGTATCTCAGAGTACATAAGCAATCCCTATTCACTTTCCATTTGACTTTGTGGTCACTAATTGAGGATGAATCAACCTAATGATCTGGCTAGAGGTGAGGGTTTGCTACTCAAAATTACCAGTTTTGCATGTTGCTCAGTTGCAACTATTCTGTATGCAGTACAGAGATATGTTTTCTTGAACTGCCACTTATTTTGGCAATCCCTATTTTAAGCTAGATAGTCTGAAACGATAATGTTCATATTTTAAAGTCCTACAAATACCTATGATAATGAAACAGAAATGCAAGGCGTTTATATTCCTTTTAAAACATTTGCCTAATTTATAGGAGCACAGAATTTTCATTTGTGGTACAAACACTGGTTTCCACAATAAGCACAGTATACTGGAAGCTGCTTTGTATCAGAGATCAGAATACTTCCATCTATCCCAGTATTATCTCCCTTGACTCACAGCAGCTCTCTGGGGCCTCAGGCATTCTCATCACCTGCTACCTGATCCTTTTAACTGGAGATGCCAGTTTCTGCATGCAAAACATGTGTTCCACCATTGATCTATGTGGCTCCTTTCCCAAAATGCTGCCTGAGCTTTAACAGAACACACAATCCTGAAGAACAAAGAGTCCTCATTTTTATGTCACCTTAAAAATACTTGTCTCAATAATAATTTATTATTTTATTATTTATGCCCTACCCATGTGACTGGGTTTCCCCATCAGCATTAGAAGACAGTAACTTGCAATTTCTAAATGACTTCCACCTAAATGCAACTATGTTTTCTACACACTATTATTCTCTGCACAACTTGTTTTTATATAGCTAGCAATGTAAGAAGCACCAAAATAAACTAGGTCTAGCTATGTTAGATACAAGTTTTTGATGTGTGCGTGTGTCAATGTATTCAAATATGGCAAAAACAAATCTTGATCTCAGTCTCGACAAAAAAGTCAAAATGCCTTGCTTCCCCGCCTCTGCTTTTTGTTTACAGAAGTCACCACTGAGCTGGCACAGGTAGGCAAGTTTCAAAGTGCTAGCAACGATGGCCCACAGTGTTGTTTACTAGGACGCAGTAGGAGAAAAGAACAGAGCTTCTCAAGGTTAGCCGCTGTCTAACCAGTGTCCTCACACTGGAGACAAAGAGAGAACTCAGACGGCGGAGCATTTTGACCTTTCACTTGACTCCTGAAAAAAAAGCAAAAAAAAAGCAGTGCCTATTTTGTAACCCAAGGAGCGGCCAGATTTAGGCCTAACCCTGGAAACCAGGCTTTTCTGCCTACTCTGTGCCCTTTTTTCCTCGACAACGCAATGGCGGATTGCGATTACTCAAGGGAGGGGGGGCACTGCACCCTCGCCCCCATTCTTTTCTTTTTTTACTGTTAGCGCTACAGTGCTACCTGCTCCCAGGTTGGAGTGTGCCTCGGATCAAGGCCCGCTTTTAGGAAAAGCGGAGGGAAAACAGCAGTGCTCTCAAGCGGCACTCGGCGCGAGGAGCTCTGGGGCAGCGGCCACCGCCAAGCCACTCGCTCCCACCACCAGCCGCACCGGGCCGGGATTGGCGGTTCCCCTCAGGCGCCTGTGTGGGCATCCTCAAGTCCGGACGGCCAACTTTTCCCTCAGCCCCCTCCGAAGCCGGTTCAAAAGCCCCTCCCGTACCAAGCGCCGCGCGAAGGGCTAAAACCGCAGCAGCGGACCCCGGGACCGCAGCACGAACGGAGAGGGCGCCGCCCTCGCCGCTCAGACTCACCGCCTCGCCCTGCCGGTAATACTCCTTTCTCAGTCACCTCAGCAGCCGCCAAGTCCCGGCAGTTCATTCCCACACACGCTCCTCATCTCTCCCCCGCCCGTCTCCTTCAACAACCAATCCTCCAGCTGCACCGGCTACAGCTCTTGGCCAATCATCGTTTGCCGTTGCGGGAGGTGAGGCTTCAGCTCCCGCCTTATCCGGGTCACAAGACGTTAGTCTACCATCGAGACGGAAAAGAAGACGGGTGACTTGGTTTGCGGACACGCTGGGAAATTCTTGCTCTTCGCGTGAACAGTACTGAAGGATCGCGCGAGAGCGCCATCTGCCGAAGCGGAGCGCTCGGTACAACAGCCAATGATTACTTAGCAGAGCGTAGTAAAGCTGTACCACTGTTGTTTCTTTTCTCGTCCGGACTAGGTCCCTGTCCGCTACGACGGTAGCATTTCGCAACTCGCTTTTATCGGTACTGTCGTTATCAAAAGAGCTGCAATATGCAAATTAAAAATTATTTGAGGACTGCAGTAGCCCTGTGCAATAATATGGCTTGATACGCTGTCAAGCGTTTGTTTTAAATACGTTGTTGTTTAGATTTTATATTATATATTTGTATTGCATTTTATGTCTTGTAAGCTGCCTTGTGAGCAGCCTAAACATGCCTAAGTCTAAGGTATAAGACAGCTTCCTAAGTTCCTACTACTGTACTTTGATGAGGCTTACTCCCAAGTATGTTTAGGCTTGGGTTCTTATCCTATACCAGGGGTGGCCAACTCCCAAAAGACTGCACTCTACTTACAGAGTTAAAGCTTAGATCGTAGAATTGTTGAGTTGGAAGAGAGCCAGAGGATCATCTAGTGTCTAACCCACTGCAATGCAGGAATATGCAGCTGTCCCATATGGGGATCAAACCTGCAACCTTGGCATTATCAGCACCATGATGTAACCAACTGAGCTATCCAGGTATCTACCTCCTTTTTAAAATGTATTTTATTACTATTATTTGTATTTTTAAAGATTGCAGTGTATTTGCAGTAAGCAATAACTTTGCAATACAGTACAGTAACGAAAATTCCCAACTAAAAACTTTACAGTAAACTGAAAACAACGTATGGCTGTGTTGTCATTATACTTCCTATTTCAATACATCAAGAAAAAGCCCATTTCTCAATAAATTTATGGGGAGTTAAATACCACTGATAAAACGTCTTATAAGTACGGAAATTGATAAAATGCATGTTGATACAGAAGAATGCATCCTAGTCAAGACACCGCATAGTCTTCCTTTGATGTGGTCCAACTTTAGATGGAGTCCAACAGGGTGGCAACAGCTTTGCCACAACGCCCCCTGGTCCTGACTGATTTGTTAAAGTCTTACGGCAAAAAAACTCAAGACTTAGGAAGTCTGCCTGATTTCTATCAGTTAAGATAGCTGATAGAATGGAATGCTGTTTATGTTGTCAGTTTGAAAATAAGGAAGATGGAAAGCAGGGGAAGAGAGGGAATTGACTTGCTCTCCCCCCTCTCCCCGGAATAATTTAAGGGGTGTTTCAAGACAATACCATTTTTCTTTCCCACTCTCCAGAACTGGATACCTCCCCTCTTATTTCATATAGGGACCCACGTTAGGAGCTAGGAGCCCTCTATTGCTATATGTACTGTATAGTACAGCAGGGGGAAACATCAGAGCCTTCTCCTCCCACCCCTCAATTCTTCCTGCTCTAACCTAAGAGCACTCCTGTGGAGCAGATCCCATTTGTAATTGTTTATCTATTGAAGTTTTACCCTGCCGTTACTCCAGGGAGCTAAGGGTAGCGAACAGGGTCACCCCACGCTCCATTTTTAAATGTTTATTTTTGGTTTTTACGAGTGGAAAAAAAGGTTTTATTCATAAAGTACTCCAAAATTCGTTTATTTTTCAGACTCACGGCATGCTGGTGAAAGAGGAAATTAAGGCTGCTATCCAAGCCCCACATGCCCAGGAGTAAGCCCCATTCAATTCAATGCGATTTACTCCTGAGTGGAACTGGCTAATAAGGCTGCCTGCATTCCCAAACTAGAGATGAAGAGCCATTCAACGCAGCGGGGCTTACTTCAGAATATACATACACGGGACTGCGCTGCAACACTTCCTTTTCAACCTGCGGTAGCAAACCCCCGAGGGAACACCCACAAATAAATCCCGCTGAACAGGAGCGGGACTCGCTTCCCATAAGCGCTCACACAATCGCTCTGTTTATCCTTTTCGCCTACAACCCCGCTCGCGCCATACTCTCGCGTGACAGCGAAAGCTCACGGCGCCGAGAAAGGTCTCCCTGGGACTTGTAGTTTCTTAGGTCCACCTTAAAAAAAAAAAAAGCCTCACCGGCTCCAACCCACAATGCCGCGGAAGTCCAGCCAGCCGCATTTCACCAATTAGAGACGCGCGTAACAAGGCGAGCCGCGACTGGCCAGGAGGTGCTTTCGGCTGCAGCCAATGGGGTCCCCCGGATCGCCGAGGTGCCGGAGACCTGTGAGCGCCCGCCTGGCTGGGTGAATGTTGTCTCCGGGGGTAGAAGGTTCCAATCCTGCTGACCTCTGGCCGGGCGCCCCGGGGTGCAAAGCGCCTTCTCCCCGCCCGGCCTCCTTTCGCACGAGGGCGGCCTCCGCGGCAGCAGATACGTGACCTGGACCGTTCCTTCTTCTGGCGGGGCGGGAGCAAGAAAGCGCCTCCCCTTTCGCATCCTATGAAAGTGAGGGCGGGGAATGGGGGACCTTCGGAGTGGGGAGTCGGTGGGGAGGAGGCGGCTGGTGAGGGTTAAGGGCTGTTGGGCCCCTGAAGGCAGGGAAAGCCAGACCAAGGAGAGTGACCCCGGGCAGGGTAACATAGAGTCCCCTGACCTCTTCCCACCCCAACCACAAGCTCTTATTTTAAATCACCAAAACATCAGGGGTTTCTAATGGCTGCCTTTCTCTCACAGGATCAGCTTATGTATGTTTACTCTGAATTAAGCCCAATTTCGTTTAGTGGGGCTTCGTCCCTGCTAGCCTAAAGTGTGGTACTGTGTGGAGACTCAGATAGAAATTCCATTGGGTTCCATGGGCAGCCCTCCCAGGTAACGGGATATGATTGCAGCAGAAGCTGATTTCAGTTATCTGGCCCTGGGGAATGGGGAGGAGGTTTAAGCGCTGGCGCGTAAGGTAGCAATCCCTTGTGTACTGAACTTCTGATATTTATGCGATACAAACCAGTACGTGAAATAGTACAAATGACCAACATAGCACCTTGGATGTCCACATCTGAGAATAAGTTCCGTCGCAGTGAGCTAGATTTACTTTTGGCTGACTATTTGGTTAATGGTTGTTTCATTTTAGAAAAGGCTTGCAGCATCTAAGACTTGGTGTTTGATTATAGCCACAGTGCTATAATAAAGTTGCTTTTGTTTTTGAAAAGAGAAACAAAAGTGATTTATTTGGGTCTTGATATTTTTTATCAGACTGTGCATATTCTTGCAAGCAAGTCCTATTGAAACAAGTAGGAGTTCTAAGAAGGCATGCATACACCTGGCAGAGTTTGAGTATGAACTTGTGCATGCTTACCAGAGAGCAAGCCCTACTGGCAGAGTGGGATTTATGAATAAACATGCACATAGGATTGTGCTGTGCACTGAAGTAAGTAAAACAACAACAACAGTGAAATAGATAAGGCATATTTGTTTAAATGAATCACATATAATTCTTAATATGAGCATGTTGTCAGTCTCTGGCTCAGGTTGTGGTCAGAAGCTGTATCAAGTTTCTTTGGTTATATTTGTAATTCTTAATCAGTAAATAGCACAAATATTTGTCTGTGGCCCTAAGGACCATCAATTTCAGTAAAAGCCACATACAGTATTTAGGGTTGATCCTAAGCACAGCTTTTGAAGTTAGCTTCATGGAAACAAATATCCTGATTTCCAGACCAGTTTAATTTCTCAGTACTTTATTCATGGTGGAGTTAACTCATATTTTTAGCTCAGTGATTTTCAGATTCCACCTTCAAGGAGCCCTTTCTGCATTGCTTTGTCTGCTGCAGAACTTGAGGGTGTCAACACTCAAGAACCTTGTGCATTCAGAATATTCTGGACCATGTTTACTAAGGTGAACAGACATTTCATAGAGGACACTGGCCATATTGGTCCTCATTGTTGCTGCATGTGAGCTGTGAGTGCACCCTGGATTATACTCAACAATGTCCTCAGACTATACAAGGAGAAATAGGCAAGCTGTCTGTCTAGGAAGCTTGGGTTGTTGTCAACAGTAGCCATACTTAGAGTAGACTCATTCAAATCATTGGATATCATTAACCGGTCTGTTTCAGTGGGTTTACTCTGAGTATGACTTGGTTAGATTCAATCCCTTGACTGTCATCATGGCTCTTTCAATTGAGGAACCTATGATAAGCATATGAAGATTCTCAAGAGCACAGTTTGAAAATTGCTATTCTAATAATCTAGTTACTGAATTTAGGTTCAGGCAGTGTGTTGTGTTTTGTTTTGCCAGGGGTGGCATGCAGCAGTTTAGAAGGTTGCCTTTGCACTACTCATGCCATGCTTCCTTTATTCAGATGATAATTCCAATGCACAATTTTGAAAATTAGATTCTTATGGAGATTGTATACCTTCATATTCCAACCAGCATTGCAACTGATAAATACATATGCTGCGTGAAGCTCTTTGGGGACTGGTCAAGACCTGAACAACCACATGCCTTCATTTGCTTACCCAAGAGTATTCTGTTCTGTTTACTGTATAATAGTCCCTTTAGGCACTTTTGAAAGCTGTACAGTCATACCTCAGGTTGAAGTAGCTCTGTGGCAACCTGGAAGTAACGGAGTGCGTTACTTTTGGGTTTCGCCGCTCACGCATGTGCAGATGCTCAAAATGATGTAACGCGCATGCGCGGAAGCGGCGAAACGCGACCCGCGCAGACGCACAGTCGCGTCTTACGTTTACTTAAGGATGCAAACAGGGCTCCGGAATGGATCCCGTTTGTATCCAGAGGTACCACTGTATATGAAATGTTATGTTCACAATGCATGGAAGCCCTTGTTATATCTAAAATAGCATTTTGGATTCTGACTGAAGCCTTCACAATATTAAAAACTTGGGGCCAATTCTCACTATGTTTTTTGTGCTTTGTGTGTATGTGAAGGTGAAATGCAAATGCTTTAGTGATTATTTCACCCACCTA